AAGGGAATATATATATATATATATATATATATATATATATATATATATATATATATATATATATAGATGTAAATAAAAAGAGAATAATGAGACCATTGATTATCCTAGTCAATAGGTAATTTATCACATGGAATTTCTTATGTTATTTGCATATTTTTATGCATAGAACCCAAAAGTAAACTCAGAATATCTTCCATAGTTTCTTTGTGATGTTCATCTGAGATTTAATATATTGAATATAGGATATATTATACATAATTTACAATTTGATTTAATTCTAAATATTCTTAATGCACATATAGAAGTATTATTAAGTATCTTCTATTAAAGTTTCTTCGTTTCAGCAATACAGTTGTCTATAAGAATTTACTAAAACTAATAATTTTTCTCCAATTAAATACAAGATATAATAAAAACCTATATATTTTTTATTTTTAAAAGAAACAGTGCAAGCCATATATGGCAGAAAATCATTAGCTTCTATATTTTAAACTAAGCAAACCATGTCTGGATATACAGAGGAAATCAATTTCCTTCAAATTTAAAAATCACACCACTGAAACCCTGGGTGACAGAAAAAAATCTGTTTGCATTTTTTAATTCAGTATAAAATATATTACCTAGATCACATAAATTAGTATGATATTAATGTAAAGAATACAAAATTTTTCTCTGTAGACCAGTATTATCACAAATCATATCAGTGTTATCACAAATCATATCAGTATTATCACAAATCATATCAGTATTATCATTAATCATGACACTAATATCACTAAGTATACCTGTAGGACCCCATGCATCATCATTGGTTGCTTCCCGAACTTTGGCCTCTGTTTCTGTATAGTTCATCACTACATTGGTCCTATAAGTTAAAAAATGAACAAATTAACAGTTGCAAAAGTAAATTGAACTTTGCTACATTTAATTGATTTCACAAATTGGAAGTTTACACTAGTAAGTTGTACTTGCAATGCGCTTTATTTATAACTTGTGACTCATGAAGAACCATATTAAGAGTTGTCACTTGAAACTTGTTTTGTGCAAAAAGATATCCAAATTTGAATCCAAAGTTAGATTTGGCTTGTTCATAGTTGAGTAATGTCACATACATGTGACATAACATCTGTAATTGCTATTTAGCAAAACTCACATCCAACTCCAAATTCTTAAATTTCCAAGCCTCACTCGAGGCGAGAGCTTCAAGTAACGACTGTTAATACAGTTTCAAGAAGGCTATTTCATAAACGTAAGCCCGGACACTAATCCCGTCGCTGTAAAATGTATATAACCCACGATTGCTCCGGAGTTTTATCATCTCGCAGCGTGCGCCGTCGAATCTCAAGGTCGTGTTACAAAATTATTCACGCCGTTCCAGTTTTACGAGTCCCTCTCCCTCCTCCCTCTCTCGCTCCCGCGGGATCGGGAGCGAGAATACACGATCGGCCGGATTTCCCGCTGCATCCTTCCGCCGAGTCTCCTCGCTCACCACTTAAATATCTGATGGATATCAAAGCGAGACTCTCGGCATATTTGTGCGGAAGCGATGCACGTCAAAATGTGACATCCGGTCCGGCACGAGGCGCACAGAACGCGGCGGGATGCGTCCCGGGCCGAGAAACGAGGCCGTTACAAGGTTATCTCGGCGCTCGCTCGCGGTCACGTCGAAGGTAAACGAGCTCGGGATCGACTTACGCCTTGTCCATCAGCTCCCGCACTTTCCACATGTTCATCATTGTGCTCGTCTCTCACGGATGGTTCTCTTCGCCTCCTCTCGTCAACACTGTTGTACTCGTGCGAACGGCGAAACACTATCGGCAGCAGCACGTCGCTGAAAAACGGTCGCCAGATGTTTTTCCGAGCATCTGATGATATCGCGCGACGGACGGACGGACGGACGAACGAAACGTCACGTCAAGCGGTAGCCATGTTATCCCTTCCACGTTTGCACGCGCACCTAGCGCACCGTCGCAGGTGTCTCTTGCCTGTGCCAACGGTGCGCAGGTTAGACGACAATTCCCCGAAAAGTGGAGGGGATAATGTTGGTACCAAAAAAAATCTTTACACGATATAATTTAAAAGTCTGTTTTTTGTAACTGCACTGCTGAACTAGTGTAAAAAGTAATGGCTCTCGCACACTGGACGCGATTAGTGATGAACAATAAGCCCGTATCAGACTACCGACTGCCGACTACGACTGCCGACTCTCAATGGACCAATCACAATGAGACACCGAGTCGGCGCCTTACTGTGATTGGTCTATTGAGAGTCAGCAGTCATAGTCGGCAGTCGGATCGGCCTATGCAGTCGGCAGTCTGATACGGGCTATAGGCGATATCTTCAACTTCAACTTCAATATCTGGCTCCAGACCTCTCTAAGCTTAGGGCTATCGCACACAAATTGACATAACTGCATATGCATAGCATAAGACCGTATGTACCAATGAGCATCGAGTATTAAGTCGAGTATTAAGCCATATTGGTGTCGATGCTTAATATTCGATGCTCATTGGTCCATACGATTTTATGCTATGCATATGCAGTTATGTCAATTTGTGTGCGATAGCTCTTATGCCTCAACGCCTTTTTTCCGATTAATGATCTATATCGAGAATAAAGTCTTGGAAAATTTCAAGAAAAATCCAAAAAATCACACGGTCCGAACGTGTTCGAACCGTCTTGTCATGACGGCGGTTAAGCCAAGATTTGATAGGCGATATCTAATGAGAGCTTTGCTTCAAGTAAAAATGAGAACTCTCATTGGCCGGTATTCATAGTCGAATCTTATTTCAAGACCGTCTTGAGTAATGTCTTAAGATGCGAATACGGCTCTGTGGCCGGTATCCCTAGTTCGATCTTATCGAAGGGAGCGGTGCACTTGGACACGGTGCATTTGGACACAGCCAATCACAGCACCGTGTGATTAGAGACATTTGTAGGGTCCCTAGGAACAGCGACTTGTGTCCAATTGCCCAGTGTCCAACTGATATACACCTCTTATCGAAGCTTTTCGGATACGTTTATTGGTTGACGAATAGAATATTTCTAGATTCTCTGTTCGTCAAATAATGAACGTATCCAAAAAGCTTGCCGTATGACACATGTAATATCAGCTTAAAGCCCATTCTACAATTGCGTGAACGTGGTTGTAAGTAATTACGACAATCAATCAGAGTAAAACAATTAGTGAATAAAACATTCGGATTGGTTGACTCCTACGTTCACGACTACGCTACGCAATTGTAGAATGGGCTTTATTCTGATTGGTTGTCGTAATCACATACAACCACTTACAACCACGTTCACGCAATTGTAGAATGAGCTTTAAGAAACTGACTAATCACAGTCGAATTATAGAAGAATAATCAATTGCGATTGGTTAATTTCTTATCAATTGTAGATCGGGATTAAAGTCAGCGGCACACGGTGCTTGTTTTAATGCTAGATTGCTTGTTGGATGGAAATACTCTGTTCTGATTGGTGTATTTCCATCCATCTTCAGAATGCACCAATCAAAATAGAGTATTTCCATCCAGCAAGCGATCCAGCACGAAAACAAGCATCGTGTGCCGCTGGCTTCATAACTAACTTCATAATCCAAAAATAATTAATTAAAATTATTCTCTTGCATGTGATTGATATATATTTTTAAATCCAAAGGAATATGCCAATCGGATATAAGAGCAGTAGTGTAGTACTGGATGCGCCCATCTTGTAAATCTAGGGGACAATTGTGCGATTTCAGCCTTATTGTCTAGGCATTCGTGTATCACGAGGTTGCACGCAACTCCTACGTGTGGCGTGACTGCAGCGGATTCAATATGTAGGAGCGCGTTTAAATTGCCGCAAAAAGCGAGCCGCTGTCGCTGCAAATTCGACGATGGCAGATTTCAACGATGGAGTGGACGGCAAACTGGCATCCCGAATGCGTAAGGTCAATCCCGAGCAATTTCACACACTCGTGAAGATGCATTTGTCTTTCGAATTGGACCTCCACACGGAGGAGTGAGTATTCGCCAAGACGTTACATCCCATACTTCTTTATACCGGTGCTTCGTGTCCTTTCAACGCGATTTTGACAAATCATTGACGCCGTGAGAGCATTTTTATTGATCCAATCTTCATTTATTTGTTGTCATCTTTTATCACAGTAATATTTGTTCCTCATCTTATTATTTATTTTTTGTCTCAGCAATGATGCTATCACTGAGAAAGCTAGACTGAAGAAGTGGTGTCTCTTGAGTTTCACCAAGAAATCCAAGTCTCTGGTCAGTCTGGAGAAAGGTACAGAAGGTGTTGCCTTATCTGAGGATGGTATAAATCATGTGATGCAATTGATAAATTACTTGTCCATGGAACAAAGTAAGTAGGACTGCTATAAGAGAAGATTCATAAGAATCAGAATTGGTTACATATTCCTTCTCACAGATATCATACAAGAAGGCATATTTCGACGTACTGGAAAATTAACCAGACAACAGGACTTAAAGATTGCTATGTCCCAAAGCTTATCCTTAGATCTGGATGATGGACGATTCAGTGTGCATGATTGCGCATCAGTGCTAAAAGGATTTCTAGCTGAGCTCTCAGAGCCACTTCTGACAGATTTGCATTATCCAGCACATTGCCAGATAGCTGGTAATGAGAACATTTATTTAGTACAATATGTAAATATATTATAAGTGTACATCTCATATATATATACATGTATATATATATACACATATATATATATACACACACATATATATATATATATATATATATATATATATATATACACGCACACACAACATATGTGTACACAAATTATATTACAATCATAGGACTGATTGTTTCAACCTCTTGGTAAGCTACCTGACAGTTAAATCATGTGTCTATCTCTGTTCGATTTGAAGAAAAACAGACATGATTTAATTGTCAGATAGCTTACCAAAAGGTTGAAACAATTGGCCCATAATGTTACATTATATATTTTATTATGATACATATATATTATAATGTTAAGGGAGTATAATCTTGTAAATATACTGAATATACTTTATATATACTTGTGCAAATTATATATGTCATTAACAAGAGCTTATAAATTACTTGTAGAACTGTGCAGTTTAGATGCAAAGACCAACGATGGGAGATTGCTGAGATCTTTGCAACTGCTGCTTCTGCTTCTACCATCTTCAAACAGAATCCTACTGAAGGCTATCCTCACTTTACTGAACAAAACTGCGGGTTACGAGCACAACAATAAGATGAACAGCGATACACTGGCCACTCTCTTCACTCCGCACTTGCTGTGCCCGCGAAAATTGTCGCCGGAAGCCTTGCACATCAACTCGCAGAATCTCTCGTGTCTGGTGGCGTTTATGATCAGAAAGGGTATGGAGCTGTTTGAGATTCCGCCAAAATTGGCTACGGACATAAGGGCTTACTGGATGGAGCAGGAGAGAAAACTCTTGAGTCCCAAAAAGACCGACGTAAGTTCGCGATCGGGTGTTGTCGGGGTTGATTTTGTTTCTGTGCCATTGTCGCCACGTGAGACCGTAATTGCAGCTGAACGAGTCGATACCGGACACCACTTCGACGGCGCACACCGTGTTCAGTTTTGTCGATCGTAAGTTAACAGCGAAGGCGACTTCCACGCAGGACACGCAGGCGGCATTGGCTCAGCTGTATGCTCATATACAAGCCATGCCGGAGTCTGCGAAGAAGCGGAGACTTGTGAAACAGTTTAATAAAGAAAACGGACAAGGTACTCCCAGGCACGTAAAGCATTGCAAGACCAAGAGTCTTGGAGATTCCATAAAGAAGCATATCTTTCATAAGAGAATCCTGGGCCACAAGAAATTTGACATCAATATCGGATGTAATATCGCCAGATCGAACAGTGAGGAGAATATATTATCAACGGTGAGATTCTTTGTTGATCTCTACTTTTCTATGAGGTAATCTATAAGAATTTGTGCACAGAGTATTCTAAATTTTATTAACACGTTGACTGCTGTGTTGATCTCGGTCGATTGTGCAAAGTTTAACTTTGCACAACTTTGTTTAACTTTTCTCATTTATTGAGATTAAGATACCCAAAAACATTGCGTATAAAGCACGATAAATAAATATAATTTGAGATGCATATGTCCTTTAGCTTGTTTTATTAGTTCTCTGTTGGCTGACTTCTAAAGTCCAATTAATCCATACTACAATTATAATTATTAATATATTATTAATTATAATTATTAGAGTATAATTTAATAATAAATAATATTTATAATATACAACTCTCTCTTATATAAATAAATATAAATAATTTTTGCATAAGTTATATAATTGTATGCAATTATTGCGTAAATATAAATGTATAAATTATTTATATAATTGCATATAATTATGTAATTATACATAAATTATTTAAATACTAAAATCATAATTATGTATAATTAAATAATGTATTTCAATTATATTCATATAATCATAATTTAAATTAATTGCATTTAAGAAATCAACCAACACAGAACTAATGGAATAAGGTAAAAGATATATTGTCTCAAATTTATTTATCATTTGCAATTAAATTATTTTATATAATTACACATATGATTATGCATAATTACTTAATATAATAATTACATATATACACACACACACACCTGTATAGTTGTATAATTATATGTGATTACTTTATATATTTTGAGAAGCAATAGTGCCATGGTTCTGATCCGCGAAGGCCAGTCACAGCATTCAACGTGTTAATTTTTGAACTTTACTTCTGAAATCGAAAACAGCACGAATCTTCTAATTGTTGTTTGTCTAATATACGAAAATATCATTGCACGTTTATCTGTGTGCATGTCTTTAACAATAGCACGTTTATTGTTTTCGTCTAATGTTCTTCTTCGCACGTATTGTACAGAAACTGGAAGACTCGTTGCTTCCGGCGAGAACCCTTCTTAGCAAATCGAATGATGAGCTTAGCGTGGAGAACTGTGATATTAAGACTAATAACGATCTACTGCGTGCCAAGAATACGAGTAGCAATATAAGTAGCCATAAAAACGACACTCCGAATTGTAAATCGAAGAGGAAGTTGTGCGATCAGTCTGTCAATGGGCAGGATGAAGGGTCGGACGAAGGGAACTTGGGTGAGATCGCGGAGCAGAGTTCAAAGGCGGACACGTCCGAAGGCGTGTCTCTAAACGGTGATCGATTTAGCTTGCTAAAGACGCCGGTGGAACTCGGTTCGTATACGAGTTTACAGGAAATCGACACGACGAATGCACTCGATGAACGATCTCCTTGTTGTGATATCGCGCATGCAGCGACTAGCGACGATAGTCCGATCGACGCCGGTAAATTGACGCGGCAGCTAAGCGAGCCGTCCGACATGTATTCCGCTCACGGTGTCGCTCATCGTCGCGACCAGTCGTCGACGACGAGCGACAGCGAATTGGTCCGACAGAAATCGGAACCCACGCTGCCGTTCGTCACGAAGCCGAATGCGTGCCAGGACGACGCTTCCTCCCCTTCGGAGACTCGTACGCCGAGCGTGGAAGTGTCAAATGAAACCGCCCCGAGCATGGAGCCGCGCGTCGAGAGTGCATGCGCGCATTTGTCGCCGATCGTGAGAAACCGATTCAGGAATGTGTACGCCGTCCACACGTCGACACCGTCGAGTTTGCTGCGGCGCAGTTTAGCTACTAACGACTACATATTAACACCTATCACTAACAACGACGACAGAAGCATGAGTCCGATTACGCAGAGCGCGACGAAGATGTCAAAGGCTATGCAGGTACGTGAGGTTCATGTTGTCGGATGTAAAATGTGGAATGCAGAGTCGGAAAGTAGCGCGTTATTTGTGTTACTCTTCTCGGTAACGACTTGATATAACGGTGTCGTTTTGTTTCATCTGATTGTTTTTATTTGTTACTAACATAATTGTGTGTTTTGGATTATGGTGACTAATATAATCGTCACTTTATGTAAGAAGAATACATATACAAAGTGTAAACTAGTTTGCTTTCATAATTTATGCTGTTCTTTGTAAAAAAACTAAATTAAAAAATTTTACATATAATTTATAACTAATTATATAAATTAATTCTAATCCGTATGAAGTAAATTTGTTTTATATTTATTTATATCAAAATAAATTTATAACTTTATTTTTTATAAAAATTTTTCCATTTTTCTTAGCGTAAAGATCTCGAGCGAGGTCATGGCGATTTTTCAATCTTCAATACATATTTGTATAGTTAAGCCTCAAGTTAAAATTCTATTAAAATAAAGTCTATTTTATTTTGTTACGGTGACCTTTCAATTTTCAATATATTTTTATAGCTAAGCCTCAGATTTAAATTTTATTAGAATAAAGTCTACTTTTAAGTCTACTTTGATCGAAGGAAATAATTATTTATTTGATTGTCCAAAACTGAGTTCGCGGAAAACCTTACTTAGTCAATCAAGAAATTAATGTCTGTTAATGTCTCGACATTCCGGAAGAAACTAAGGAAAAATTGTCAAATTCTCATAAGGAAAATTAAAAAGTTGGATAAAAATAAATACTTTACATTTTTTATATATGCGATAGAAATTAGCGAATATTAAAAAAAGATCTGCGCGAAACTTTGCGTGAAAAAAATCACAAAAATTGTAACTTGTCAAGGAATAACTTTCCGACTCTGTTTCAATGTTATTAGAATCTAATCAAATCAACTTCTTCTAATTCATCTCGATCAAACCGTTGCAGGAGAGTATAATGACCCCGCGCTCCAGGAAGCCGGTAATGATAGTGTCAACATCGAATCTCTGCAATCTCGTGACCAACAATTGCGATCAACAGCCCAACAACGTGCCCAGTAGCGGCTTGCGCAGATCAAATCTGGGCGCACTCGGTGCAACGAACTATACTTCCATCCTAGAGGAATCTCAAACGTACAACAGCGCGGATCACGCGCCGTGTCATGTCGTAAAGGACGCTCATGCACACGGTGCTACGGAAGGTAACGCGTTCGACACGCTGGAGAAGCATAGCTGCGACAATTTCTCTGTCGCAAAGTGTTGCACCACGACGACACAGCAGAGTTCCATGTCGATAACGAGCACATTTCGAGAATACCTGTTGTCGAGGAGTGTCCTGACGGCCAGCCCCGTCGACTTGAGCTTCACGTCGCGAACAGGTGACTTCGAGCAGTCCGAGTCCGACTTGAATATCCTAAACAACGACGACACGTTGTCCGACAGTCTGCTCCATTGCTTGGACGGCAATCAGCCGGACACCTCCGACACCTCCGGCATAGGATCCGGCAGTACGAACAGCGCGAATAACTCCACCGAAAAGGTCTCGGAGGAGTCCTCCTCGCCGCGGAAACGAGGCACCAGTTTACAGCGTAACGATTCCAAGAGATCTGCGAGAGAAATCAAGGACGCGAAAGGACACGAACACTCGAAGCACAGGCATCCGCTGAACGAATCGGCGTCGATGAATCCTGCGAGAATGCAGGATAGCTTTCAGGAGACGTCGTTTTAGTGCTTCGGCATTTCTTGAGACTCGATCGTTTCACTGCACAGTGAACCGGTCGACATTATTCATCGTTAACAGTAATATATCGTCGCTGTAATTTAATACTGAGATATCTTTAGAAAGCTAAATTTTTTGTGACATTGACATTATTGACTTTATTGTTTCGAATTTTTATTTCTCTAATGAGAAAATATATCGCTATATATATATATATATAAAAGAATGATCTAATTTGCAATCCAATTTACGTTCTATCACACTCGTTTTGTTGCTTTCATATCTTAAGAAGGACTGGGTATTTTATGTTATATGTTATACAGGAAAAAAAGAATTAGTTTGTACGAATGATCAAACTATACATCTCAAAAACTCATTATTTAATAAAAGATATCTCGATATTGCGTCAGAGCAATGATATATCGTTGAGTATAAGTCGCTATATTTTTGTACACTATAACGGTACGAGATAGGAAGTTGCGATTCGTCGAGGTTTATCGATATATGACGCAACGCGTAAGTTTCATCGAGCACGAAAAATTGACTGTTCGACAACTGAATTATTTATTCTATTTACGAGAACTAAACGTCGCTATAATATATGATATATATAGGATATGTATGCTAAAGAATTCTATTTCTTTTTCATGACACTCTTTTGATGATGGCATTTGCGAAAAGCTGTGTACTGAGTACTGAGACGCAATTAGGTATTTTTTTCTAATTATATATTCTTTTTTGTTTGGAATCTAGGAAAAAAATTGCATAATATATAATTTTATACTTCGATATAGAACGTAAAGTAATAATTTTTGTGCACTCTAAGCAAGTTTACAATACGCACAAAGTTTGTTAAAATATTTATAAATAAAATTAAGTTTATATATGACGAATCGTAATACGATATTCATACTATAATAGCGGTTGTATACATGTGACTGTAAATATCTTAAAATTTATTAAAAAAATCAACGTACTATATATATACTATTTTTCGATATTTATCTAAGACATTATTTTAATTTTTACATAAATATAAGCAAGTACGCGCGCGTGTACAAATTTTCCTAAATTTTTCGACGACTTTAATATGAATTAAAAGTAGCCGAAAAAAAGAAATACGCTTTCTTTCTGTCGAAAAAGAAAGTAACGCACACACACGCTATTATAGACAACACAATGTTATCATGTCATCTCATACATTTATATTGATTCAATGTGAACTATGCTATTCGGTTATCTCGTTTTTTTCCTTTTGCTTTCCTTTTTTTCTACCAGCTAAATACTTAAAGCTCTTGGTTTCGCCGCTGTGGAACCCCGAGTTAATGACATCAGAAGCGAAAAAATACGTGTCAAAAATTCTCGTGGGCTATTTTCAAACAAAAAGATTTTTGTATATCAGATCGCTTGAGCATACTCGTAAAATACTTTTAAGAGCCAAAAATAACATAACTCCCACGTATATTCAAGCAGTAACTCAAATACTTGCAATGTTATTACTAAAAAAAATATTTGTACAGTTTTCGCATTCCGTATATTTGTTTAGCCTAGTGAAACACTTTTGTTCAGTATTTTCCTGACCCGTTAACTGGGCTCCAAAAACTATCTCTTGACAGTCAATAAATAGCCTTAAAATTAACATGTATGCAACCTTCCTCTTTAACTTACTTTTCCTTATAATTTTGTCATGTTAGTTTTAGAGCTATTTATTAACTGCCAAGAGAAACTAATTGTTTTCAAAGAATTTTACAAGCGTGCTCAAGCGATCTAAAAAGTGCTTTTTCATATGAATATTTTTTTATTTAAAAATGATACACAAGAATTTTTGATGTGCATTTTCTCGCTTCTGATGTTATAAATCTAGAGTTCTGTAGCAGTGGGACCAGCAACCTTAAAAGTTGCAACACTTTCATTCTTTCGTGAGTTTCGCGACGCATCCTGTCAAAATGTATCTTCTGAAAGTTATTAAAAATTAAATTTTTCATTGAATAGGAGACGCGTTCCGAAGTTCATTGAGACAAAAAAGTGTTGCACTTTCAAGCATTTGACTACACACAAATTTTTTGAACAGTTCTTTAAACATTGATCCACGAGAGAAAGATGCATATTTAGATGGAAAGCGGAGTACAGCGAACTTTGTAATCATCGGTATCGCGTGAAGGTAAATTAGAGAGTGAAGAAACAGATACAGTCGTAGGTCAGAACATATCGTCGTGATTCAGATCTGGCATATACGAAAGACCGCGTTCTTTTAGGGCTTTATTCCTCAGTCGTTTCTGATCTTGTTTCAGCTCTTGCTCGCGTCTCTGAGCATCTAGAATATCGTCCACTGTCACTTGCGTCAGGGGCAGAACTTTCTCTTTCTCTCTATCCTGTAACACAAGTGTGTGTTTGAATATTTGGTATGATATTCTGAATATTTACTAATATAGAGTGTTTATTGTAATGGTACTCATTGCTTTTTTATCAGGTACAATAATTAGGCAGGAAAAAGTTCAGAAATATAATTGATCAGTTTTTTAATAACACAATAAAATGCAATAATGAAAATTTCAAAAACGTACTTTTTCGTAAAAAAATCCAAGTTGTTTTCACTTTTTTTTAATGGGACTAAATTATTATTTATATAAAAATTATATATATATATATTCTTTTATTTAACTAATAACTATAACAAGTACAATAGGTACTATTATAGTGAATATCCTATAATGTTACAGAATCTTGAACATGATAACTAAACTTACTATTTCTCCCAGGAGCACAACATTTTCACCTCTCACTATAAATATACCTCTTGGAATATCACCATATTCTTTGCCAACATGAATCCTTTCAATGGTACGGTGTAGCACAATATTAGCAAATTGGTCCACACTTCTGAGGTAACCAATTAATGTTCTACCATCTCTCAGTAAAACCATAAGTTTTTCTAGGAACAAAAGAAGCTTATAAACTTTATTATAAGAGAAAGAGAGAATAATGAAATATTCTATCTCTCTATATGTAATCTTTTTTGAAAGGAGCAAAAATTGAATTTGTGATTTGGAAATAAACTCTTCGATTGTCAAGAATATAAATTGAAAGTTTTTATGCAGGCTGTTTTAATATGCAACTTCAAGTATTGATGTTATTTTGAGGAATGACACATAACACGCAACTTTAAAGTGTCCAAAATATTCTGCTGAGTATTTTAGGACAGTATCTCTGAGTCTTTCTAAGCATCATATTCCGATATGAATTTCCAGATAAGGATTCTTCAAATTTTTTAACAGCGTAAATACTATAAGAGTCAACAATCAGGCCGGCGTATAAAAAAAGTTAGCTGCTCAAGCTAGAGAACACGTACTGTCGAGTTCTTCAAGTAATGAGGCTGTTCCTGGCACGATATTCATTTCGCAATCAATTACTTAATAATTGAATCACTTTTATTAAAAATCAGCGATTGTCATCAGTACTTTCTCAATCATAAAACTTTGATAAATTTCACTTTACTTAAAGAAATTTCTCTCTGTTTCCTGGTCTAACAACCATAGTCGCGCTTCGACATTGTAGGGCTTGCCTGAACACAGTTCTTTCCGCCTCCGCTACGAACGCGACTGCACCGGCAGCGCCATGCGTTTTCTTGTACACACGCCTGCAGACGAGAAAACCAGAAAAACAGAATCTTTAAATTATATCGTGTAGAGATTTTCTTTGGTACCAATATTATTCCCTCCACTTTTCAGGAAACTGTCGCCTAACCGGGTTTTAGACGAGTCAGCGTATTGTTCCCATAGGCCGGTATTTATAATCGGATCTTATATTTAAGCCATCTTAAGTTCATCTTGAGATGATGTATGGATCATTTCATTGGCTATTGAATATCTGAAGATAAACTTAACAGTCTTAAATATAAGATCCGACTAAATGGATTACTAAGGCTGCGTTTCGAAATTTACTGCCAGTAAATGAAATTCTATAATATACGTAATTTCAGAGTACTGAAATTCTATAATATACGTAACATAAACTATAGATTTTCAGTACTGGCAGTGCATTTCGGAACGCAGCCTAAATATAAACTAAGTTATAAACCAACTATTAAATAGTAACTTCTATTAGATAATCTTAATATCGACGATGTATATAAATAACGGTATATTAAGTTGGTATAATACTGGGTACCTATTATGGACTTCTTCGGAGTCAATTCCGATCGGAATAATTCCGTTTCCCCTAGAAAAGACAATAGAAATCTAGGAAATAACTGAATGTTTCCGACCGGAATTGATTCCGAAGAAGTCCATAATAGATACCCTGATCAAGAAGACTTATTGTATCGATTGAATGCGTCGTCGTTGATATGCATTGTTAATATTAAGATTATTTAATAGAAAGTTACTATATAGTACGCGTATTAGAGATGTCCGATTCTTAATCGATTCAATTCTTTCCCTAACAAATTTAGGGAAAAAGGGTTGTTCGTGTTGCTTGCATGTTTTATACTTTTCGCTTTTAAAAAGAGATGGACTATTAACCGGGAAGTACACACTCTTGCATGAAGATATAATACACAACGCATAAGGAAGTGAACCAATCAGAGTCTTTAGAGGTTTGTTCGCGTCGCATGCCTCAACGTGCTCCTACTCGCTCCAACGCACTCTGATTGGTCCGCATAGTGACGTAAACCAATCAGAGTGCGTTGGAGCGAGTAGGAGCACGCTGAGGCATGCGACGCGAACAAACCTCTAAAGACTGATTGGTTCACTTCCTTATGCGTTGTGTATTATATCTTCATGCAAGAGTGTGTGCTTCCTGGTTAATAGCATGTTGACTGGCTCTGGATTAATCCACTCTGGGTTATTCAGTCTACGTTTATTGGTCGAACAAGTACTTATAAGCTTTATGATTGGCTAGTAGAGACTTATGACGTCAATAATCGCTCTCGGAGCGATTAATCCAAAGTCAGTCGAACGTTCGAAGTCAGTTACGCTATAAGATTAGTCGAGTTTTTTAATAGAAAGTTACTATTTAATACGTGTATTAAACGTTCGATGTAAACTAGGCAATTGAACACCGGATCGAAAATATGCCGATCCCGGGAGCGCGGTGTGAATCGTTCCTAATCTGAGCGATATCAGCGCCACTTGGCGCATTTGCGTCGACTTATCGAACTAAAATATTGAATCGCTTTCGTGCGCTGTTGGTGATGTTCTGGCACACCTCTGCTAGAACGATGCGTGTATTTTCGTACGATATATCGAGAGAAATGTTCGCGTAGTATTGTTCCGTGGAGACGCGCGAAGGAATTCGCAGTTTGATAAATCCGCTCGAGAAGTCGACCAGTCAACAGTTCGTCGCTCACCATGGATAGGAGAAAAATGTCGTGAGTAAATCCGTCGTGATCGCAGAGGAAGAGAGAGGAAGAGAGAAAGAGAGTGAGAGAGAGACGCCCAAACGTTGCTGGCAGTCGTATGCTTTTATCTGCTCGTGCATCTTATCGGCTTTTCTTCGCCACATCCTCGTTCTTGAGAGACCGCTCGATGCTTGTCTTATCACCGATAAACTTAGTCTCTTTATCACGGAGAAATCCTTGCTTCATATGCCTAAGATTAACAGATATTTGCGATGAAACCAAGAGAGCAATCGTAACTTCTCTTTTACCACGTACCGGTTATCAGCCGCGCGAAATTCATACGTCATACGAATTCGGAGATACAAAATTCGTCCCTGGTACTTGTCGGGGCGTAACATAAGCCTCGATAAGTTCGTGAACGCCTGTGCGAACAATAATAAAGTCTTTCTTTCGGTGGGACGAATGTCGTGTGAAGCGAAACAAGAAATTCGATAGGCTTGGGCTGTATTCTTGACGTACTCAAACGCTAAATACGCCTTTCTGATTCTCAAGCTAAAAGAAACTTTACAATATATACATGGGTCGCTTGTGCACAAAAAATGGAACTTAGAACAAGAATGCAACCTCTATTCTCTCCTAAAGAACTTCCTGATCTGAATCTGACCTAAAGCCGATTTTTGCACCTGAACTGATACGATAAGTTAAAGTGAAACAATATATACTTGGCTCACTCTAACTTCTTGCACCAATGTGCAACTGTTTGGGAAATTCTTTGAAGCTCTATAGGTTATCTGTCTCACGTGGTGTGCCATGTGCCACATGGCCACTTCTTCGCTGTTCTACACTGATGCTTTGTTATTAGCATTCGAATCTTATCGATGAACTTATTTATGAAGTCTCCCGTTTGTGTTTCAAACAAGTGTTTCAAACCAAAAAAGAGATCTGTTAGTTTTCAAAGAACTTTTAAACAATAAATTAGAGTGAAACAAATGTATGTTTTTTACTCTAACTTATTTAAGCAATTAAAGTTCTTAAAAAACGAACAGACATTCTTTTTGACTGAACCAGGCTGTACTTTTTATCTTTAAAGTTAATAAGATTTGTATAGAAAACAGCGTTAAAACAAAGAATAATGAAATTCTAATGCAGAACTAATTCAGCTAAAAGGAACAGATCTAAAGATTGCATGTGATATGATTATTGTAGCTGTATTTCTGTGTTCACTACTAATACTGGAAATCTATATTATAGACAATATAAACTATAGATTTTCAATATTAGCAGTGAATATTGAATTATAGTCTCAAAAGCATAGAAGAAAATAGTTTTTTATGGTTTTAAAAAGATTCAAAGTATAACCAAGATATAACTCTTTTTTGTGAAATATTCATCATACATATGAGTGTTACCAGAATAATCAATAGATTTTGAAGAATTTATAAAGTAAATGTCCCAAAGAATCAATTGTAAATCTTTTATCATGAATTTGATTTGAAAATATATGGAAACATTTCACAATTTCACATTTTCATGGAAAAAAATTATATAATTGATAATTAAGCAAGTTTACATAAAAATGATTGATGCTCCTTAATTGAACCTTGTTTCAATGATTGAAATATTAATAATATATTTGTATTTAATGTTTTTAAAGAAAGAGTTTCTAAAACTATATTAAAAGATATTTATACCAATTTGTGTAATATCATTTGATGACCACTCAATCACTGAGCCGTTAATCACAATCATTATTTAACAATTAAGATATGATTTATTTTTTCAAATCAATTATTGGTACAATTGACATTATCTAATCTCGTTAATAATAATAATAATAATAATTAGTATCTATTGATTATTTTATTTCCTATCATTTTTCGATCGTTAACAAACCAAAATTTTACATAAACATTTACATAGTTTTTTTAGTAATTCCAATAATTATCGATAAAAATGCAAAAATCGTGCTTTTGTATTAGTTAAGTCATTAGGACATGTTTAAGCAGTTTTATCCACTTAAGCTAAGATGCTTAAAGTTATACAAAAATTTGATATAACATCCCAGATAACACAAATTGAAATTGAACACTGAATGATGTTTCAAAGATGTCTAAAAGAAATAAGGATGTCTTTGAGACATCTTTTAGTGGACTGACTGTCTAAAATACATTGCAGTAAACACATTTATAGTTAAAGTTTCATTCAATTTGTCTACATTATTTGTGAAATATTTAATACTGAATATCGCAATTTTGCATATAATCTAATGCTAGAAGTAATATAGATAATCACACATTATTTCAATGTAACTTCATAAAAAGTAATAGGGAAATAAAATCCAGTAATCGGAATTCTTACGCAGATATTAGGTATTAAGATGTATGAGTATTTAAAAGAAAAATAAATGTTTAAAAAAAATAATAATTGATAAATAATTAATAAATCAGTACATCTTGATATTTGATAGGAAGGGTGTCGAAAATTGGTTGGTGTTATAACGAGCATTTTTCCTTATTTCTCATCCAAATAAAAAGTTTGACATAAATATTACATTTTAAGGAACACACCTGTGTATGTGTGTGTGTAGGGTTCCACAACTAGTAGAACACTCGTTAGGGGTAGGTAGGGGATGTAATTTGGAACTGAAAGTTCCTCTTCCATTTTTGGATCCGACAATTAGTTAACGAGATATTAATTAATTAAGTCTGCCAATCCCTTAGCGCCCTGAGTGAGCGCTCAGGGACATAGGACGCCGTGGGCTCCTCAAGGGCCCTGCTTGTCTGTTTTTCTCCCCTTTTTGTACACACTAAAATCATTCACGATTCTCAATCACATGCACGATTCTCACGACATGCAGAAAACATTTAAGTCACCCGCGCACTCGAAGGAAGCATACCACACATGCCCTTCCCCTCCGGCGCATAAAGTGCAATCACTCCGCCCATTCACACTAAAAAGATTCAAATTATCCATGCACTCATAACCGCACTCATAAAAACATACACATCACCCCTACACATTGAAAACTTGCCACCCCCTTAGCCCTGGTCAGGCATTCATTCACACACCCACTCACTCACTCACTCAAGCATATTTATTCCTCTGTGATACAAAAAAGAGGAGAAAAACGGACAAGCAGGGCCCCTGAGGAGTCCACGGCGCTCTATGGCCCTGAGCACTCACACGCTAAGGGATTGGCAGACTTAATTAATATCTCATTAATTGTCGGATCCAAAAATAGAAGAGGAACTTTCAGTTCCAAATTTCACCTCCTACCTACCCTTAACGGGTGTTCTACCAGTTGTGGGATCGGAAATTCCCACATTCGCAGTACAGGATATGATACTTTATGCTAAAACAACTTTTTCCTTTAGCAAAATTGCGTCCGACAAGTAGTTTTTGCTAACCCAAAAACGTTCGACGTGGGAGCCTCAGTCTGCTCAGCCACGCCGCCTTGCTGAAGGAAAGTCGCAACTTTAGTCATATGTATGATACAGTCCCGCGACCAAAACTTTATACTGTAATTTCTCACAAACAAAGGCCCATTGGCACAAGTCCCGTTAGGATGTTGATACTCAACATCGCAGCTAGTAAACGTGCTATGACTCGTTCAGAAATCGATTTAGCAGGTTGTGGCATCTCCTTGTAAGTAAAAAAACCTTAGTGAACATAAGTCGAAAGCTCAACCGTTTCTGAAATATAAACATTTTTGTATGTTAGCATCACGAATGACTTAGGTTTACGTGTCGTATGCGATGTTTACCTCAATGTTTATAAACCGTGTTCTGTATGTCCTCACTTAATTTCTGTACATATTTTATAACAGAAGATTTTACTGGCAATCATTCAGGTGTCATCAACCGGTGATTGCGGATCTTATTTGGTAATTACAGTTATAAGGTCTAAAAATGACAACGTATTACTCTAATCAAGAAATGGCAGATATACATTTTTTGTATGGTCGTGCTAATGGAAATGCTTCTGTTGCGCGATGTCTTTACATCGAAAAATTTCCTAATCGAAGAGTTCCCTCTCATACACTTCAAAATTTTCACTAAGATTTTTTTATTCAGTATGTACTATCTACCAAATGCTGAATGGTTTTTTGGAAATACCCTGTGATATATATATATATAAAAGAAAGAATAATATTCACTACATCATTTCTATGTAATGGTCGATTGTAGGTCAGAAAACTGCTGTTTCATGCTTTCAGTAACATATTGAATTATATTGAAAAGCAGCAAGGTAATATGATGAAATTAGTTTGAAATTAACATTTACTATTTAGACAGTAAAATAAATATATTAAAATGCAATTTTGTTCAATAGTGAATTTGTGAGTAGCTCCCTTGATGCACCACTGAAAATATTTCTAGAGCGCCTCCGGAAATACATACCTGGTGAATAAATTCTTTAGGGATTTTCCCAACTTTTTTTGAGCCCTTAAGTTCATCTTCAGATGCTCTGTAGCCAAAGAAATGATCTGTACGGCATCTGAAGATAAACTTAAAACGATCTTAAATATAAGATCTGACTATAAGCCGGGCTTTGTTTCTTTTTTAAATTAGATAGACAATATATGATTTTAGTTAGCTTATCAAAAAATTGGAAAAACCAACCGTTAATGGTCAGAGAATGTGACAAATAAATAAGATTTGAATGCTAAGGCAAAGTATTCTGAATGTGAAACTGCGAGGTGGCGGCGCGTAAAGTGACACATATCTTATAGAGTTACCATCATCTCACTTTACATGACACTTATTAGATTGGAATTTCTAGCAAGATCGTATTATTGTTCGCAAGTCACGCTACTTACTTAGCATGACGACTTCACATTGATTTTGTTGCTCTTTTCGCTGCAGTACTGCGGGGGATTCCCTCTATCAAATTTTGGATATACCTAAGACTGCCACTTCAGAGGAGATCAAGAAGACATATAGGAAATTGGCATTGAAGTATCATCCTGATAAGAATCCCAACAATCCAGAGGCAGCTGAAAAGGTGACTCTAACTTCTCATTATAATACAAAAATGTAATGTTAAAATTGCCAAATATCCAGATTTCAGTTGAACAATCCAGATTTTATCACCGATGTTTACTTAATATAAAAAATATCTAGAATCTAAACATTTAAAATGTTGTATTTTATATTTTTTTAATTTCTAATTTTCTGCTTGCTCCAATCATAAATCTGTAATTATATTTTTATATTGTATACAATAATATTCTTATATCATAGTAATCTTAGTGTAATAATTTTTTTCTTGCTTGCCGTTGATGATTGTAATTATAAATCTGTGATTATATTCTTGTATTCTTACTATATTTTTTATTTATCATTATTGATATATTCTTTAAAAAATAAATGTTTGTAAATTCATATATATCCAGTTTTTTTTTTTTTTTAATCTTCAGGTTTTTAGATTCAACAATTTTTGCAGTAATATTTTAAAAAAATATGCCTTGTAATATTGTGTGTTTACAGTTCAAGGAAATAAATAGGGCACACGCCATCCTCACAGATCTAACAAAACGTAATATATATGATAATTACGGATCTCTTGGTTTGTATGTCGCAGAACAGTTTGGGGAAGAGAACGTTAATGCTTATTTTGTTGTTACTTCTGGATGGTGCAAGGTAAGAGAGTATCACTTAATCCATATTTTATACAAGAAAATAACATTTATATCACATTTATATCACATAATACATCTCATCATAGATTTATTTCTCAGTACAACTTAATGATTCCATTGAAATACGGAGTTTGTCTCATTGATATTAGCAAGTATTTAATTGTATTATAATATTGCAATATTATGTTTTGTTTGTTCTCAGGCATTGTTCCTGTTTTGTGGGCTAATTACTGCTTGTTATTGCTGCTGTTGTTGCTGTTGCTGCTGCAACTTTTGTTGCGGCAAATGCAAACCCACTCCTCCGGAGGACAGCGGCGCATACCACAATTTACAGGTAAAATATGTTCACATATATATGTCTCATTATTACTTTATGATAAGTTTTATAGAAACTTTAGAGAAAGAGAGTGTGAGAACACAAAATGCATAACAGACGTGCGGCAGCAAAGATTTTATTGATGCAAATACGTCTAAAAATTTATCGACAATAGGAAAGTTTATTCATATATTATCACGGACCTAAGAATCGTCGGTAGTGTCTTTCCCTTCGACTTTTAATTGTCCTCTTAAAAATTCGTTGTAGATCTCTATCATTCTAATTACGATTCGGGTCCAAATATCAAAAGAAAAGAAAGACACGCTCGCGTTTCTATCAGCAGAAGCAAATTTTGGTTCCAAGAAATGATAATATCTCTTATCGATGGTATTCTCTCTGTGAATGGAAGGCATTCGATATGATTCTTCATGAATCGCGCGGAAGATTTTACATATTCGCATTCATTCCATATACATCCTGATACTATTTCCTTTCATGCATCTTTGATAAGTTTTGTTGCGCTGTATATATCGAAAATTCAACGAGGAAGATAGCAAAACGAGATACCGCTTCCGTTCATATATTTACATGATTTACTCAAATAGAGTTCAAATAATGGACTTCAGTATATCATCATACAATGCACGTTATATATATATTATTAAAAACGCGAATTTTAGCTGATGTACATTGCTCATATGTGCATGATTCATGACGCATGATAAGGCGAGTAATTATTTTTAATTAACACTTTAACGGTCGCACACTTGTTTTGGAGGAATATTTCCATCTTTCGCCGGCAAATTTCAAGAACTCACCTAAACAGTATCTCGAAAGAGACCAGCATCTCCCTACAGAAATCCACATATCTAGCTTTATACAGGGCGTTAAAAGAAAGGTTCAAGTCTTACACAGAATAGGTAGAACCCATTATATTGAGTGAAAAATGTTCAGTAAACATAAGTCGAAAGATCAATCCTTTCAGAGTTACAAATATTTTTTCTCGTTTTGGTAACGCAAGTTATTTGTGTGCTTCCAGTGATCACGCGCGGTGAATGAACAAACGAGTATCTTACCAAATTGTTATTTTATTATTATTTTGGTGTCTACAAAAAGCGTTCTACATGTCGTTTATCCATTTCTATACACGCTTAACATCTATTGCAGAATTTTCTGTTTTAAGTATCTTTCTAAATAGAGATGTCATGCAGCTTAGAGTATTTCCATTGGCAAAATCATATGTAAAATGCATATCTACCATTTCTCGATTAGAATAATATAAGATAAGATAAGAATAAGTCGACATCGAGAGGATTTCTACGTCTCTTGAATATACTTGCAATCATTGATCCTAAGAACAAATAACTATACTATGTACTGAAATACAAGAAAAAATAACTATACCATACTGAAGATGATAACATAAATATTCTTGTGTAGAAATGTAATTAATTCGAAAACTAAAAATTTTTGAAAGAAGACGTGTAGAACACTTTTTATAAACATCAAAATAATAGTATGATATAATGAAAAAAGACTCCGTTAGTATAACTGAGTTTTCTGTTATCTGAAAACTAAATGAAAAACTTGGTTGTATGAATAAAAAGATTTTTGTAGAAGGATTTCATTCTGCGAATTGCTCTCAGTTATCTCAACTGAGTTTTAATGCAGTTGAATGTTCAGACGAATATTTTCGGTCACGATGACAGAGATATTATTTCTCGTCAGCGAGTCTGACCCTCATTGAGTTACCTGAATTAAAAAAATTTTTTCCCGTAAATGAGTACTGTCTACCCCGTAAGTCTTGAACCTGTTTGTTTAAAACACCTTGTTTATAGCTTTTACAATATTGCAGCTGTAAAATGTCATTATTGCAGAATGTTTTTTTATAAGCCAACAGTCACTAGCAAAAAATAAAGTCGTATTAGAATTAGCAGCGTAATTGGCTGAGTTGGCGTACAAAATTTTTATTTTGACGCTTGGCGTAATTCTGGTGTAATGAGAAAAAAATTTACACATAAAGTGACGCTTTAAGGAATTAATTTAGATTTAAGATTGGCGTCCATGATGTTAGAATTTGATTCAAATTAGGAGAATACAAAAACTACTAGAAATTACTGTAAAATTACTAATGTTGCAGTGTTTTCTTGTTATATAGCAAGCAATTTAGACCGAGTTTGATAAAGTTTATGTTAAAATCAATATTCAATTTTTTTAAAGTGTCGATAAAAACAAAATTACATATTACGAATTTATATTTATTGATTATAACTGTTAATTATAAATTTTAGTTATATTCTAATATTACAAAATGGTTACAATATAAAATACTATTTTTCGTCTTGATATCCTAAAATTATATTATAAAATGTTTAAATATATCCCTATAAACATTGCAAATAACTTTGATAATAAGATAGATGCAAACATAGTTAAATGTTTTGTTTTTAATCTTCTAAAATTTGTACATTGCCGTTTATCCAATATATTCGGTTTGTAAGTGATGCCAAAGTTAATAATTTTCAAGTTTGGCGTATCGGTGCTGTAGAACCTGACAATCCGCGACAATATACGACTGCGGCCGTCAAAGTATTAATTTATTCAGAGACTATAAGAGCAGCCGTGGACATTCGACATTATTCGCGATCGTTATTCATTTACGTCGTTACGAACTAATCCTTAGCTAAATACACAGCCGAATTGCAAAAGTATCGAAATACAAGTCTGTGAATTCTCTTTTTACACTTGTACACAAATTTTCGACACACATACACACATACAGTTGGAAAACTCATCTACGGGGAAAGAGCATCTTGATAGATATCTAATTGTGAAGACGAGCGATTTAAGGAGTTCATGCGGCTTAAGTTTGATCAATATATGCATAAAAGTTTGTATTCATCTTCGGAATTGCAAGTATTATTTGTTCTTATTCGGGGCACCACATAGACGCTTAATATTGTCTTGGCACAGCTCGTTATTCTTTAGCTTTATGGAAGTGTGACTCCCAACTTCCGCATAAGTATATATTTATACGTTAATTATCGTTGTTTCACAGGTTTCGCTCGTATCACCGAGATAAAGCATCGCTTTTATGCATAGTCTAAAAAATTACGACACATTTTTATAAAAAGAAATACTGATTTTTCGTAGCACCAAAGTTGTGAAAATAAATTAAAATTTTCTGAATTTAACAATTGATTTAAACAAATATATTTCAGTTAATTAACGATTGATTTAAGCAAAATCAACTGATGAATATTTAATCGACGATTGATTTCAACGAATTCAATTAAAAACCGTTCAATTGATGGTTCATATAAACGAAGGGAATAAAAGGTCGTTTAATTAAACTTAGCAAATTTAATTAAAAGCCGTTTAATTACGATTGAACTTACATTGAGAAAAAACGGTTGAATTTACAAAATCGGCGGTTACTGACCATCAAAGAAATATTAGATCTATTCAATAAAATACATGTTAATGCAACAATAAGTGGCGTTGATATATGATTTCAATGCAACATATTGTTGCATTAACATGTATTTTATTGAATAGATCCAATATTTCTTTGATGGTCGATGATTGCCGATTTTGTCGATTCAACTGCTTTTTTTCTCAGTGCAGCAAATTTAATTGACAATTGATATGAACAAATTTAATCGAAGAGTGTTCGGTTACTCAAAGTTACAATTTTGTGGGTAATATTCATTCTCAGAGCATGGCATCATGAAAAATGCCGATAATGCAGTAAAATCTGCTTTGAAAAAAGTGCTGAGCGTATCGATCGTCATTGACCAATCTTTAATTGAATCTATTAAATTTACTCATATTAATCGTTAATTAATCAACCTTTAATTAAATTTGCCAAGTTCAATTATTTATAATTCTACATTGCTCTCGTATGAGGTGAACGCTCGGTTAAAATTTCATTTTCTAGTTATATAAAGATGGCTTGTAACAGTTGACTTTAAAACTTCCTGACTTTTTATTTACAACCTTTTAGATCATATTTGTATGATAGTTTTCTTAATTTTGTTAGTGTAACTTTTACTAATATATTAATCTTACATTGTTTTCGTGTGAGGCGAGCTTGCTCAGTGGAAATTTTATTTTCTAATTATATAAAAGTAGCTTCACAGAGAGGAAGAGAGAGTTAGCTTTGAAACTTTCTGGCTTTTCGTTTACAACCTTCTAAGTTAAATGTTTATGGTCATTTTTTAAATTTCGTTAGTACAACTTTTATTAATAGACTCTGGGAAGTGTTAGCGCGCGCTTATAGCGAGAGTAAATACGTGAGATTAATGCAATTTATTTATGCTGTTATCAAATTTAAGCTTTACTCTGATGGATCAATAATAAATCAATGTTTTAATGCATCTATTAATTTTTGTAAAGCCGTATTAATACAGCAATAATTAAATTTTCATTTAAATTCAACTAATAATAATAATTTAATATATAATAATATAATATTATTGCCGTATTAATATAGCAATAATTAAATTTTCATTTAAATTCAACTAATAATAATAATTTAATATATAATAATATAATATTATTGCCGTATTAATATAGCAATAATTAAATTTTCATTTAAATTCAACTAATAATAATAATTTAATATATAATAATATAATATTATTGCCGTATTAATATAGCAATAATTAAATTTTCATTTAAATTCAACTAATAATAATAATTTAATATATTATAATATAATATATATATTATAATAATATATAATATAATATATATATTATTATATATAATAATATAATCATAGGCGCGACATTTCACTCTTATACGAGAACACTAACGTTCGTCAGCCGAACGAGAGCAATGGAGGATTAACTGAACGATCTTTAATTGAATTCGTCGAAACCAATCGTCATTTGAATGGTTTTCGATTTTATTTGTTAAAATCAATTGTTAATTAAATGGTCTTCAATGGCTCATATTAAAATCGTGAATTAAATATAATTAATTAAATAAGATAATTAAAAAAGTAATTAATAACTCACAATACTGCGTAGCACACACATGGTCCTAGTTTTGTTCCCCTTACGTTTATCTGTGTATATTTCTTTGCGGTTTGTTTTCTCTAGTTCCCGTTTCAATCGACAAATTCTTCTAAATATTGTTCTCTGTGTCCGTCACTTGCGCGATAATTCGCACACAAAGATTGAGAAACGAATGCATGAATTCTTATTGTCTCATACATGCATGCCAAGTTACGTCTCTTTTTTTTTTATAGAAAAGCGTACATAGTTTAGCTGTTTTGTTTATGTTATTATTGTATTATAGCGGAACCCGAATCCAGAGGCTGATGTTGTGACAAGTCAACCGCGAAGTTCGGAACAGGTAAGTTATTATGATGCTTGACATTTCGGTTTCTTTCCTTCTACTTTGCTACAATCGATTTTGAACATTAATGCCTTTTTGTTTTACGATCTTCTTCCGATGTCACGGTGGGGTGATTTCACACAAATCACATACGTACACTCAGTTGCATTGATGCTATATCATTCACTAGATTGATAATTATTAGAGAATTTCAACCAGCCCTGTCCGTTTTTAGCTGATCGTTTTTCATGACTGTTGATTCATCAGACAAGCGGGAATGTGTCAAAACAGAAGTGACATTTTGACAGCTTAACGTTTCTTACATACGTGTTTTTATCAGAAATTTATCCGCTCACGTGTAACGCGCAATCAGTAGAAGAAGAGTAAGAATGTTAAAAATAAGTAAAAAAATATTTTTAAATATTTTTTTTTACACTTAAAATATTATTTTCGAATATAGTAAAGTAAAATGTTTATTAATATTCTGGGACGCTTATCAAATGACGAATAGTTTGAGAGAAAATAGCGTGAAAATGTTAAAATAAAATATTAACATATAAAGCTGTCAAAATATCACTTCTATTTTGACACATTTCCGCTTGCCGAATGAATCAACAGTCATGATAAAAGATCAGCTAGAAACGGACACGGTTGGTCGAAATTTTCTGGTGATTATCGATTTGGTGAATGGTATAACATCGATGCAACTGTACTTGTGTACGACATACACAAAGATAGTTTTAATAACGACACTTTTCGTAACACTCCATTATAACATTCGCACACACGCACACTATTAAATCTTTGGATTATAAGGTATGTGAATGACAGATTATTGTGACGTTCGTGCAGTCTCGTAAATAATTAACATACTTGCAATTACTATAAATAGCTACTTGTGAGTGATTCATACACACGACACGCCGTCATGTTAGATTTTACGGCGCATGTAGAACGATAGTCTGCACTATTTTCCATAACGTATCTGTAAAAATGTTGTCAAACAATTATCTCATCCCTTTGCCGTGTAACATATCTCTCATCTCTCATAAAGAGCTGCGGAGTTGAGCTCGTTTTTACGACGACACATCGATATTCCATTCATGTTCATTCCATTCGGATAACGTACCGTCTGTGTGCCTTCATGCTTACATATACGCGCGTGCACACGTGTACACGTTATATGTGGTGATGGAAGAATCAAACAAAATTGTATCATGCACCATTCACAGAAAAGCCAAGAGGGGCTTCCTTAATGGGAGATAAATTGATCGGCAGATAACGTGACAATTCGGCAGCATGTATTTGGTTGAACCGAGCTACACGTTTGTCAGAAGAATTTAAGAGAATCCTCAGAGTTTGAAATCAGAAAACTTGTAGAGGATGTCTGTATGTACTACGATGTTGCCTGAATCGACCTCATATGCTTCCGTCCGTCTTTTTGCTATTCCAAAATCGAATTCTGCTGGTACGAAAGTACTTGACACGAGTGAATTTGCAGCTTATTGTAAATATGAGAACACAATCAACGTTACGTGACACTAGTGTCTAAAGTGCGTATTAATAGTTGTTACTTGAAATTTGTCTCTTACGTGAAATACTCAGATTTAATACCGCAATTCTAGACGAAATCGTAAAACTCGTTCTCGTAAGAACTTATGAGTAGATCTGCAATTCGATGTGGACCATATGTCATATGATAACTCGTAAATATCTACGATTTTTTTTTCGTAAGCTACGATTTTACGATTTGCTCGTATATTTGCTTAGAATTGCAGCATAAATTTCTAATTAAATCTGAATTTTTCAATTCAATCATATGACATATGTGACATTATATTTGTAATCGCAATTCAACTAAAAAAGTTCTCACATGTAACTCTATATACAAATCTGTGTATCTCACGTGAGAGACAAGTTTATAGTAATAAGTATTAAGTACTACGAGTTTAATGTATTAATAGTTATTAATAGTTATTAAATATAATAGGTATTAATAGTTATTAAAGTAAATGTCCCAAAGGATTGAACTAATAAGAAAGCATAAGATCAAATTTTTTTATAAATAATTAATGGATTACTAATATAAAATTAACGCTTGTAAAATTTTGGTTTGCCAGTTATCTCTCTCTCAAAAAATAATAGGAAATAAAATAATAAATATGTTATAATTTGAATGAGATATATAAATAATGTCAATTGTAACACACTGAATTGATAAGTGTGTTATGTCCTAATTAACGAATAATACAGTCTCAATGATTGAACATTTATTAAATAATATTACAAATTATATTGAGAGAGCATAAAGAAATATCTTAATAAAATTTCAAAGACTTTTTTTAGAGATATTAAGCATAAATGTATTATTAATATTTCAATCATTGGAACATTGTTCAATTACTGGGACATTTATCTTGCTTGAAACTTGTCTCATGTGAAACCCGAATTTGAATTTAAACTCATATTAACAGTTATTATTTAAAACTTGTCTCAAATAAGACATTTAAATTTATAGTTAGAGTTATATATGAAAGTAATATATTTTCAGTTGAATCGTAATTACAAATATAATGTCAGATATAGAACTTTGAGTTTTTTTGATGAGAGGAAATGGAAATCGATTTGGCTTCTGGGCTACATTCTTCGTGAACTTATTTCATGAAACTGCTTCAAGCTATCCTTCCTGATAAAATCAACAAATTCAACTGGAAAACTCAGATTTAACTCTGAATAAAAGTCTGAGTATTTTGCATGAGACAAGTTTCCAACGGCAGTTACTAATATGAGATTTTAAGTTAGATCCGAGTTTTTCAGTTGAATCGTATGACGTGATATTATATTTACAATCGTGAGTTACTTAAAAAACTTTAATAATAAATTAAAATCTGAGACCATATTAATAGACGTTACTCGAATTTTGTTTCACATGAGATACTCAAATTTATAACTTGAATAAGTAAAATTTGAGCGTTAGGTCTGATTTTTTTTAATCATAATATATGTGACATTACGTTTGTAATTGTAATTCAGCTGAAGAACTCACATAAAAGGGGGAATTTACACTTTGGCAAAAAATCAAAAACAGAAAGGCAGAAATCAAGATAGAACTCGCGCTAGTAGAGAAACAAAAATTATCAACTCCCACGTGGCTGATTGGCTTCTCTGATTTTTTTTAATCATAATATATGTGACATTACGTTTGTAATTGTAATTCAGCCGAAGAACTCACATAAAAGGGGGAATTTACACTTTGGCAAAAAAGCAAAAAACAGAAAGGCAGAAATCAAGGTAGAACTCGCGCTAGTAGAGAAACAAAAATTATCGACTCCCACGTGGTTGATTGGCTTCTCTACTTTCTGTTTTTCTGATAAGACGTGAATTCTCACTAACTTTAAATTCAGGTGAGTAAATTTAGTTAATTCAGTAAATCTAGTTAATTCAGTTAATTTAGGTGAGTATCTCACTTAAGACAAGTTGCAAGTAACAATTATTAACGAGTCCAACTATCTTAGGGTGAAACAAATTTCAAATGTTCAAAGACTCATATGTAATATGTAAATTCGCACCTGAGTATCTCATGTATCTTATGTTGCATCTCACAAGTCTTATAACAACTATTACTATAGGTGTATTAATAGGTGTGTATTAATAATTGTTACTTGAAACTTGTCTCGGGATGTGATACAAATTTGAAATTAGTGGATACAAATTTTTTGGTTGAATTATATAATGATATATATAATTAAAAATATATTCACATATATCGTATAATTTAACTGAAAAATTTAAATTCAACTCTAAGGCCGATATTAATAGTTGTCATCTAAAACTCGTCTTATATAAGATATTTAGATTTATATTCGAAGCTATAGAGCTAAATCCAAGTTTTCTAGTTGAATTGTGATATATGTGGCATTTATATCTGTAATCACGACTAAACTGAAAGACTGCCATCCAATTCTAAATTCAAATCTGAGTATCTACCTTCAGATAAATTTCAAGTAATAATAAGAATTGTAATAATAAGAATAATAATTTCAAGTAATAATAAGAATTGTAAAAATATTAAATTCTCAATTTAATTAATTTCTTAATTTAATAATTGATTTGAACAAATATGTTTCAATTTAATTCATAAACGAATGATTCAAGCAAAATCGAGAAGAATTTTTAATTGACGATTAATTTCAACAAATTCAATTAAAAACCGTTCGATTGACTGTTGGTCAAGTGAAGAAAATCAAAGATCACTCAATTAACAATTGAACTTAGCAAATTAAAAGCCATTTAATTGACGATTGAACTTAGTAAATTTAAAGGACGTTTAATTAATTATTGATATGAGCAATTTAATCGAAGAGCGTTCGATTACACAAGGTTACAATCGATTCTGTGAATAATATCCATTCTCAGAACGTCGTGAAAAATGTCGATAATAGAATAGGATCTGCGTTGAAACAAGCATTGGGCATATATCAATCGTTATCGAGCAATCTTCTATTGAGTCGATCGAATTTATTCGTATTAATCATCAGTTAAATATCCTTTAATTATATTTGCAAGTTTAATCGTCAATTAAGCGGCCTTTAATTATCTTTAAAAATCAATTATTAACGAGTTTCCCTTCGCGCATATCAATCGTCAATTGAACGGTCTTTAATTGAATTCGTTGAAATAAATTGTCAATCGAACGGTTTTCAATTGAATTTGTTCATGTTCGTCAATTAAACACGATATAATGAATTAAAAAAGTAATTAATTACTTGAATTAAAAACTGAGTTAAAAAAAGTGATAAATTAAAAAGTAATTATTCGCAACCCTTGTATTTTAATAACCATTAATACAAGCCTCAGTTCCGATCTAAATATCTCATGTGAGACAAGCGTCAAGTAACGATTGTTAATACGAGCCTAATTGTATACAAAGGTGTGAATTAGGGAGTTAGGGGAAGTCGGGGAGAAAAATATACAGATTACACACTTGCTTAGGAACGTTTCGAAGTGTTATACACGATAAGAGCGTAAGATGCATTTCAAGAGTACACAGCGAGAACGATTTATTGAATGAAACAAATGTTTCTTTGGAATAGTCCAAGCAAATTATTTGGTTGATACAACAAAAATATTTCTTTGGAACTAAGCCGCAAATAAATACTTTTGTTGCTTCAAACAAAGTTTTGTTCGATTAATCGAAAAATTCGTTTGGACTATTCCAAAGAAGCGTTTACTTGATTCAACCAAATCGTTCTCTCTGTGTAGAGTTACTTGCCCGCGGATATAAATAGAGCGGCAGTCGCTTCTCTACGCATATATGATGTATGTATTGTATATATGTATCTGTCTATCACATTCGATGTTGAAAATGTACGTTCGCAGGAAGAGGAGAGTGATGAGGAAGCAGTAACTTCTCAACCACAAGGCAGATCCTCACCGAACTCGTCCAACGTGCAGCCGCCTGTATACGCCATGCCCGCACCGGGATCAGCGGCGACGACGTCTACGGCTAACGAAAGCACGAATCTAAACAGCGGCGGCGAACGCGTGATTTATACCACTGGTATTACGAGTTCTTGAACGTAGAGACTTCATACTATGAGTTGTTACATTCTTTTTGTACATGACCGCATCAGTGTTGGTCAGCCATACGTCATCTCTCACCCTCTTCTTTCGCCCGAGATCGCCGAGATCTCCGCGCTCTCTTCTATTTGCCCGCTTTCTTGCTGGACCGTCGCATTATCCCGAAAAGAAATGTATCGGAAATTAAAAAGTAGGGCGACCTTTCCTGAGAAAAGTCGTGTAATACCGAAAAATCAGAACACACCGAGACAATCTCTCCGAAATAGCAACTTTACTGAAGTTCGAATTGTCTCGTTGCATCGATCGTTGCACGATCAACGAGATTGTATTTATACATATTTATTCGAGTATAACAAGAATATGCTCAAATGCGTAGATATTAACAGAGCGTAAATCATAATACTCTACGTTATAGATAAATTACATCATAGATGTTATCTATGCAAATAATGATTGATCTACGAATGTTGTTTAAAAAAATATGTGGCTTGCTTCAAATTTTTCTAAAAAAAATTTATATTTCTATTTGATCTTCAATGTATAAGATCCTCAATGTATAAGATCCTCAATGTGTAAATTTATAAACGTTGTTTCCTGAACAAATTAGAATTTGCAGAATTTTCTGGTTGTATTCTTACCCATAGAAAATTAAATCTACCAATCTGTCACACGATGATAAACAGTGTAAGTTATGTAGAATATTGCAAATTGTATTAAAATATACAAAAAAGGAGTGATTAAGTTACGAAACAGTTATTTGTATTTGTTAACGCGTATTTGTTTTGAGAATTAATTACAAATGTGATGTGTTTAAAAGAGATAAAAGATTGTATGAAAATTTCATCACATTTCAACACATCACATTTGTAATTAATTCTCAAAATAAATACGCGTTAACAAATACAAATAACTGTTTCGTAACTTAATCACTCCTTTTTTGTATATTTTAATACAATTTGCAATATTCTACATAACTTACACTGTTTACATAGAAAACTGTGTATACATTACGTGGAAAATTATGCAAACGATTCGTCTAGACATAATTTTGAAATCTACGACATAGCCCTAGATATTAATACACACATATATGTACCATTTTTAATAATTCCTTCTCTGAACAATACTTCGGGAAGATTGTACTTCGAGATATTGTTTCGATATTTTCAGATTTTCGTATTGCGACTTTTTGGGAAATTATCTGAGTTTCCGGATTTCAAGTTCGGGTTTTTCGGGAAAATGCACGTCCACATATACACCGTTCTTCTTTTTTTTCGTTTCCTCTCTTGCTGATTATGATAATTTTTCTCACCCGTGTTCTCGTCCGACGAATTCCCCCATCGTTCCTTGAGAAAACGATTCCGCTGCGTCGAAGAAGACATTATCATGCTTCTACAAAGTGATTTTCCGTCGTGTTGTTTTGCTCGATATAAAACTTCTAGTGTGATCATTCGAAATCCGCGTTAGGAATTAGCTGATTAGTAGATTCGTTGTGTGTAAAGCTCTCGATAGAGAACGTCGTGACTTAGGTATAGATTTCTCTCTCGTGTTTCACCGTGCAAAGCTCCGGCGACATTCTTTCCTCTTTACCCGCGATATATTTCTCTGTCGTCGCACAGGTCGACCGTGGGTGAAAACTATTGAAACAGTATTGGAGATACTGTCTTCCAGTAATCGGACAGGGATATCTGTTCTCGATGTTGGGAAGGTATCACGCGCGCGAGAAAACACGAACGTTTTATGCAGTGTCCGCAAAGTCCCGTCGTGCGACATCGCGAAAGCATATTCTGTGGCTCATTTAAAAAGTCGAAAGTCCTGATACAAAAATATCGAGGTCGATATTTTTGGAAGAGCACAGATTTTTATTTATTTAGCTAATTCTCTTTTAACTAATTTCAAGTGTAGTATACTAAAATAAAATTATCAGCAGCTAAAAGTGTAGTTGTATAGACATGCAGTGCTGGTATCAGCTGAAATCAGCTGGTACAGATGACGACGTATTAACATTTTCGACTTCACTTATGCTTCAGAATACACTGTCGAAGTGTCGCACGACGGTTTTGAGAGGCATCCTGCATATGTTGTGCTGAACGATACTTAAGAGAAGAAAGGATTTTTCAAGAGTATACTTTGTATTTACGCGTGTTCTCGTCGTGCGATTTCCCGTGTGATTTTTTTGCGTAGCGCGATGGTAACACGTGCGAGAGTATGCGCCGAATAAGAATTAGTGATTTAGTTTTAGATAGCGTCCGAAGAATATACACATTGTACATGCCAGTACGCGTACCAAAATGCAAGAGAAAGAGATAAGGAGGGAAGTGAGCTTTTAACGGGAGGTTCACCTCTCGCTCCATCGTTTATAATATAAACATAAATGATAAGGAAGCAAGAAAAGATACGGTTTTTACACCACACTGTTATCATTCCTCGTCGCGCTTTTCGACGCTTCAACGAGAACACTCGGATTCGATGATTTAACCGCGCAAGCTTTGCAGCCACGATCGTGTCGTATACCTTTTATGACGTTTGTTTTAAAAGATTTCACTGAGGAGAGTACCTCTCACTCCGTAACTTGTGTCCAAATAGGTGTCCATACGAGTCGTATTATGTTTCATCGTAAAAACAAATATACATATATATGCACACTACGTGATTATGCGCCTCGCACAGTTCTCTTTCTTTTGCCGTTATTCCCAATTTATCCTGCGTTCTTGTCGTTTTTAGCGCTAACGAGCTGGCGACGTTTCATCGAAATGTTGTTAAGGGAGGGTTTTGGCTTAGATAGTCGAGAAACAGGTTTCTACATATTTTTTCACAGAAATGAATAGAGATGTCAATATAGAGTTTTGATCATATTGTTTATTGTTGTTTTAAATATAAGAAAATTATTTTTTATTGAAAAAAAATTTTGAAATTTCATTGTTCAGGTCTTTTGCGCTGAGCACGGTGTCGCCGGACGTCTCTGCTTGATGAATAACATTACGATTCGTTTAATAATTAATTTCAAACAAGTGAGTGAAGAAAAGTTAGAAACTGTATTATATTTGCTGGAGTATCTAAATCCTAAAAATTTCCAAAACAAATATTTCTTTCGTGACACTAAATAAAAAAAATCTCTTAGTTAAATCTCAACTTTCTACACGTAGCAAAGATACATTCTTCTGCAAATTTAAATTTTTTAATTTCTTTACTTTATTGTTTAAGATTATTACACGAGTTGTAATGTTATCCATCAGTTAGAGACATCCGAAGACAACAAACTTGAACGACAGAACTTCAATTCTTTTTTAAATAAAAGAATTCTTTTATACTCAGTTATAAACAACACAGTCAAAACTATATTGATATCCTTACTTATTTCTTTGAAAGAAATTTGTAAAGACCTAGTTTTTGGCAATCTAAATCAGAATCTCCTCTTAAATCGAATTTTTTCCACCAATTGCAAAACTTGAATTTGTTTTAAAATATCAAGCATTGCACTTGCAACATACAGAAGTGAAAATTATTAGAGAATAATTTTGATTCCTTTATTTATATATTTTCTCTAATTTCCTTATTTATTTTCTCTAATTGTTCTTTTTAATATATACCTAATTTCAGGAAATATTACAGTTATAAATATTTCTTATGAGTTTAGAATGATTGTATGTTTGTATTACATATTGTAACTAAATTATATAAATAATAATGGATATATCATCTATTAGATTCTGTTGTAAAATATATTTTATATGTAAAAGTAAATTCTTACACAGGAAATAGCAATGGTGGGACTACGTTAAAATAATAGCAAAGAAATAGAAAGAAGTTTCCTGTCTATATAATTACGTGTGACAACTCGACGAATCGTTGCACGTTAAATCGTTGCAACAAATATACGTGATTGTATAGACAGGAAATTTTTTCCATTTCTTCGTCTATTTTTTACATAGTTCTATCACAGATTATTTATACATTGAGAAAAGTATTTGAAAATTTACTTTTGGGATATAAAGTTTATATTTCTGTGAAATAATCCGTCATTATTTATCAATTTATATTATTTACCATTGTCATTATAATTTAATCATATAATATGTAATACAAACTTGTAATTACTTTAAACTTATAAGGAATATTAACAAGTTATAACAAGTTTATATTTCCTGAAATTAGACATTTATTGAAAAGAATAATTAGAAAAAGTAAATAAAGAAATGAAAATTATTCAAATAATTTTCACAACCTGTAGCTTCATTCTAAAATAAGCTAATCTTTAGAGTATCTCTTTTCTTTTGTTTTGCGTGTTTTCTTCTCGCTTTCCTAGACAATTTTCACGCACTCCGGATTTGCTCCAAGCTCCAAGCTTGAGCCAACTCCAGCGATACACGATCACGATATAAATTTCGCTCTGTACATAAAGCTTTCCGTTTCGTAGAGAACACCGAGTTCTCGCTGTATTATCTCGCCGAATCGCTGCAAACGCGCGTTGTTGGCGGAAAGAAAGAAAAGAAAAAGAAAGTAGTAGAAGATAAATTATCGCGACGTACTAATAATTCGTCATTACTAATACGATATTTCAATCTAGCGGCTGCCACAAATCCATTCATAGGAGCGAATGCAGCTTCGACCGACACCGGACCAACCAGATGGTAGACTGAACACGTGGAAAAACCATCGCGAGCACTGATTCATGTTTATAGCGCCGAGTCCCTACGATAGCTCATCGACACGGTAGATCATAACTACGTTCATTGTCTCTCGATAGGATAGACTGCGATCGGTTTGATGTAACGAATTTTTCTTTTCTTTTTCTTCTTTTTTTTTCTTCATAAGGAGGGGTACCAAATTATACAATTATTAGGTAATTTTATCGTACACTATTTTTTTATTTATTCTTATCATTTTTTAGGGGTTTCAATGTAGACACATTTGGGTTCAATAACACATTTGGGCTCGAAAACACTTTCTTTCGACGTATTTCGAGACGCATTGAGACGTCCAACGGGAGAACCTACCCAAAGAGAATGTTCGAGTAGAAATTACTGTAGAGATTACTTTGTAGCCGAGGAACATATCGACATTCCATCTTAATTTATCAATCTTCCATTTCATAAATACTTTTTGTATTAAAGGTATTCATGAAAGTAATTAAATATCTACAAGATTTTTATTTTTATCAGTTTCTACGCGAGTTGTGTACACGAATAAGATGTTGTAGTAAACATTACATTAAAATTATATATCTTTTCACAATGTATTTTGTATAGCTGGATTATATTGAAATTATAATATAAATTATCAAAGAAAAAAATAATAAATTCGACAATCCACAGAATATACGATATTAAAAGCATTCAATTATTTACGATTACATTACAATTGTAATAAAAAGTTAAACGTATATTTTTAAACAAACATAGTTATTTTGATCATAATTTTGTACGATCCAAGATCACAACAATTTTGTTGTAATTTTTAGTACAATATTTTCTCCGTATTATATATAAACAGTATTTCCTTAATATGTTTTGTAGGTAAAGAGTATTTAATTTTTATTATATCACTAAAAAGTAAAAGTTTTTTAATTAATTTGAAAAATTGTTTAAAAACTTTAAATATGTTTCGTTCTGAAATATTTAATTATTTATGAGTACTCCTAATATTTTATTCTTTAAAAGAATCATAATATTTCATTATTTACAAAAATTTATTACTTTCCTCAGCAAGATAAACTCTATTGAAAGTATGTTCTTGCACTGGAAAATAATGTAAAGTCGAGAGAAATTTATATAACACACAAAAGTTATGTAACATTTTCTGCGCGTATGTGTTATGATAGCTAAAAGAAATTTTTCCATTGGACGTCGACTGCGTTCCAAAGTGCGTCGAATGAAATGCGCGTGCAGGCCGCTCTGCGAACGCGAGTGATTATTATCCTGTGTAACTTAATGAGGCGATCTTCCGCTAGAGAAACTGTGCAATTATATACTTTACAGTTGTTCCTTTTCTCTGTACGCGAATGAAAGTATATACTTTGTAATTTAAATCTTTTAATGCCTCTGTGTGTAAAGCACTTGGTGTGCTCACCTCCCGGTCTCTGTCACCAATGGAATTTCTAAAAGATTTACGTATAGAGTATACACGAACGAAAAGGTGAAAATAAGATGACGAAGCCTTGATGACAAATACGTGAAATATCGGTTCTCCCACTGATATGTACATTATTGAAGTTACTTAACTACCCGTAAAACGATAAGCTTTAACTTCTCTCTAAGATATTTACACGTTAATCGATCGCTATTTTAATCTGAACGTTCGTCCCTCGAGTCAAGTGTGAGGGAGTTCTTAAGTTAATATGATAACCGGTTTGAATAATATCGTGCAGAGTGTAGAAAATGCGAGACTATCGCATCGGACGACTGCGGACGTATTTCTCGATGAATTCGATCAGCTGACGGGGGCCTAATTGTGAAGTTGTGACATTCGGTGTTTATGCGAAATGTAGATTAAGCGACAGGATATCTTTTCCTGCTAATTAACTCTGCCCGCGAGGATGCTATCCTTTAAGACTCCTGACTAGTCACTGTGACTGTCCTTGTTTAATGACGTCAGAAGTGAGAAAACACATGCTAAGATTTCGTCCGTTATACTTTTAATTGAAAAGATATATCCACAAAGTGACATTGGTGATCGATTCAGCACACTTGTGAAATTGTTCGAACACTTTCCTTTTACTCGAACAATCAATAAATAATCGCAAAATTAACTTGACATGGAACCTTCTTTTTTAACCTCTTTTCTCAAGATCATGTCAATGTTAATTTTGCGACTATTTATTGATTGTTCGAGCAAAAGGAAAGTGTTCGGACAATTTTACAAGTGTGCTGAATCGATCACCAATATCACTTTGTGGATATATCTTTTTAATTAAAAGTATAACGGATGAAATCTTGGCATGCGTTTTCTCGCTTCTGACGTCACTAAACAAGGACAGTTATAGCGACTAGCCAGGAACCTTAATGAGAATTTAATCCTCGTATTAACAATTAACGTATGTGTGTAAATTATATATATATATATATATATATGTATATATATTATATACATATATAGAGTTGTTTCTGTTTATTATATATTATATATATAATTATATATATTATATATATAATATATATTATATTATATTAATATTTATATAATATATATAATATATATTATATAATATATATAATATATATTATATATATAATTATATATATTATATATATAATATAATAATACATATTTACATATTGATCATTTAACTTTTGAAGGATGCGAAAAACAACAGACAAGAAGAAGTCAAGCTCGACGTTATCTAAAAATACATTCGCACGCCATTGTTGTAGTCTCGCATTTTGCTGTGCGTCCTGTATATTAGTTGTATCGGTAATATTAGAGTACGGAGAGAATTCGCGCGTGAATAATATTAATTTAACCGTCTCTAGCTACGTATGTAAAAAAAAGATAAACAGGAAAATCCGACGTTGCGACGAATAATGATTATCATCATCCAGCGTGATTTTCACACTTGCGCCTGATTTCGTACGCGGCTAATGTTGTCTGGGAGTGTCGCTCGAGGACAACCCGGGCAGCGCGAGCTTCTAAAAGACGTCGTGGAGGCGTGTGAAGGGCATCCTTGCGAATGTCTCTCGGACGTCTCTTAGAGATTCGAGCAGCCTGGCCGATATGTAACATCGATCTTAAAGTCAATCCCATTCGGAGATTCGTATAATAATTCCCGCCACTGCGTTTCACTCGTCTCTTATTTCGTGATCACACGAGAATCGCATTTTTCACATCGATCTCGTAAAAACACGTTGAGAGCGAATCGCCGATCGCGGAACAACCCGCAAGGCTCTGTTCCTTCGCGAAGAGGGCGACCTGTCTTCGAACAAATTAGGTCGAGGTGGTCCGTATACGAAGGACAAACAGACATTGCCTTTCCTCACACGAAGCATAAACCAGAAAAAAAAAAAAACAAAACATCCTCCGAAGACACTTCGCCCGCGCACGAATTAATTACTTCGAGAAGCGTATATGTTAGATTTACGATTTCTAAATACATATACAGAGTGGTCCGTTTAAAATCACTCGTTCCTGATAAGATTTGATATTGCTAGCGAGAGAATCGAGAGAGTTTTTTCAAAATAGCGATTTCAAGATAGGTTGTTTATTGTCCTACTGCAGAGTTTTTCGCATACGGATATGGATTTTCACTCTCTCAGTGTCTCAGACTTGTATTTCTTTTCGGATACACAGGCACTCATGCACACATATTCCATTGACTTGTAGAGAGATGGAAAAATTAGAGAGAGAAAGAGAGAGAGAAAAGAAAGAGACGGACAGTTTTAACGTAGTGATTTCCGTAATAATAGACACATTCATACACACGAAGCTGAGGCAAGCTTTATCATTTTGTCGATTGTAACTTCTTTTATCAGAGAATATAGTCCCATGTATCAACGGCGTATCGTTAAAATATCTAATCGACTAATCTGAACGTCGTTTATCGATTATAAACGGTGTTATGTGTCCTCGCAATGAAATTTGATGTCTGGTCGTGTAAACGACGTGTATTATCAACGTGCAAGAGTGTCGCGAGGAATTCTACTAAACAATGTAAACGAAAACTATGTGTGATTGGTGTAACGTAACGTAAAAGAAAAAAGGATAAAGAAACGTTAAATATATCACGACGATAAATCGATGTAATATAATCAGAGTTGTGAAGATATAAATTAAATCTTTCTCAACTTAATAACTGATTTGAATCAGTATGTTTCGACTAATTAACGATTGATTCCAATAAAGTCAACCGAAGAATGTTTAATTGACGATTGATTTCAACAAATTCAATTAAAGTACGTTCAATTGACGATTGATATAAGCAAAGGGAATTAAAGATCGTTCAATTAACAATTGAGCTTAGTAAATTTAATTAAAGACTGTTTAATTGACGATTGATATGAGCAAATTCAATTAACTCAAGTTACAGTTGGTTTTATGTATAATATTCATTCTCAAAGTATCGTGGCATCGTGAAAAATGCTAATAATTAAGCAAGATCTGTGTTGAAAGGAGCATTGAGTGTATTAGTTGTCATCAAGTAATCTTCGAATAAATCGATTGAATTTGCTCATATCAATTAAACGTTCTTTAATTAAATTTACTAAGTTCAATCGTGTCAATTAAACTGTCTTTAATTAAATTTGCTATGTTCAATTATTATCTGAATAATCTTTAATTCCCTTTACTCATTCATTTAATTCAATTTGCTAAGTTCAGTCGTCAATTGAATGGTCTTTAATTGAATTCGTTGAAACCAATCGTCAATCGAGTGGTTTTGGATTGAATTTGCTAAAATCAATTGTGAATTAAACGGTCTTCAATTGGATTGGCTCATATTAATCGTCAATTAAACGTGATAATTAAGAAAGTAGTTAACTACTCGCAACCCTGAATGTAATACACGTAAGAAGGGGAACAGGGGGAGTTGATTTCTTGACAGGTGCGAATATCTACGGGATATTTCTTTGAGGCCTATGCAAGTCCGCGCAAAGAAAGAAAGAAAGAAAGAAAAAGAAAGAGAGAGAGAGAGTTATGACTCATTTGTTATGGATTTGTACTTGTTACTCTTCGCGAGATTATGTATGGATATGAAAAGTATCGCGGAAATTGTATCCCGGCTAATTATACGAGAGATTATGTGCCATTGAGTTTCCACATAAATCACAACGATGCCACCTTTCGATCGAATCTTCTTTCGGTTCGTGTGAACGCGTATATATTTATTTGTGAACTTCATTAGTGAGATTTTACTCGATTTCATGATCGCTCGATGTAATATCTTGATGTCGACCTCGCGATTATCTAGCGTCCTATCCCCAGATAGCACGAGTTATCGGGGCGCACGCGGATGGGAAAATATAGGGGGAGGACTAGGTAATTCATCAATTAATTAATCTTCGACGAATATATCACGCTGATGATTTCGCTGACACAATCGAAGCCTTTGTCGAATGACACAATCTTGCTCGGCGAGTGATCGTGAAAACTCACCGCAGGGAGATCATCCTTCGCTCGCATTCCGTGGAATGTTTGTTACACGACATCGAGAAAAATGCGACCTGCGAGAGAGAGAGAGAGAGAGAAAGGAAAATAGCGAAAAGTACAGGCGTGTAAGATCCATCGCGCGAGATAGACAGATAGACACCTTCCGAGCTCTTCCATGCATTCCGCGAATTTGAAGTCGAGACACGACGTCAATTGACACCTGCGTAAAAGCGTTGTATCCGTGTATATAACCGAACATTATTAGTTAATACGTTGACCGCCACGTGGGTCACCGGTGGCCGACGCTATTATAACTTTGTCGCGTTTCTTTTAATTGCGCATTAAGCGTAGCTAGTCGCACCTTTAACGAATTAAATATAGGGTTTGATACGCGCATACATATATATATATATATTATATATATATATATATATATATATATATATATATATATAACTGTGTGTATGTGTGTGTGTACAGGAAACTGAATAAATTAGTTGAGAAATATAAGGTTTATTCAGAAGTCTTATCCCGTGAACGCTGAACAAATGCTGAACAAGTGCTGATTGAAGCAAAATAGAAATCAAAGTAGAAACATGTTGACGGATAAAGCGTGTAGAGTTTATAGGAAAAGACTTCTCACACTCAACTTGATATACGCGGTTAGCCAAGAAACGGGCTCTATTCAAAAGTCTTGCCTCATAAACGTTGAACAGATGTTATTGCGAAAAAACAGTTTTCAAGAGAGATATACCGACGAGAGTGAAATATGTGTATTTTACTGGAGAAGATTTCTGGGATCGACCTAAAAAATATATGCAGTTAGCTGAAGAAACGAGGCCGATTCAAAAGTCATTCCTCATAAACGCTGACAAACGTTGTTTGAACAAATAGTTTTCATGTGTAAATTGTCGACGAGTGAAACGTGTGTTTTATGAGAAAAGATTTTTGGATCAACCTAATATATGCAATTGGCTAAGTAATGAGGTTTGTTCATGAGGTCTTGCCTCATGAACGTTGAACAGCTGTTTTGACGCGAACAAAAAGTTCTGAAGCGAAGATATGTCGAGAAAAATGAAGCATGTATTTTATGGAGGAGGACTTTTGAATCAACTTGCTCTGTGCAACAGGAAATATATATGTATTTATGTCGTATTAACTCTGGTTATTTAAACTAGTCGCTTAGAACGATCCATGGATCGTGGCTTTGCCGTGCGATCCGTGGAAATCAGCGTGGCAGTCAGCGTGTTAAGTATCTCAAAGAGTAACATTCGACGCGCGCGCGCGTGTACTTAGTCGTCCAACTGCGGCAGTGTCTTCAGTAACGATGGCGTAACAAATGTTCTACGTATTTATGATAGATGTAATTACGTTTGTTATAATAGCACGCTTCTATTTGACGATATCCAAATAATATACTATGTTCGCATGTGATTGGATACACCGACACGCAATTATTACGATTAATAATGTTGTACTTAAAACGAAAAGAACAAAGAATTATTGTAAAGCCGTGTAATAAATAACAACAAATGTAAATAAATTAGGTTGTATCAATATGAATACAGGATAATATATATACGTTTCGAGCTCTGGGCATATGCTTGTACTTTCTTACTTCAAGGACCGTCGGATTCAGCCTCGTAGAGTCGCGAAGTTCGCGTAAATGGCGAATTTCGACGACCGCACTCTCGAGAAACCGTTCGCGTCTGAAAAATTTATCTTCTTATGTCGAACTTTTTGGACTTGTCGAGTCCCCGTGGAATCTACCTCAACATCGACAATGTTTTTCTTGAACACAGAGTTTCGTTTTACTCAGGGTGTCTGACAATTAACTGCACACATGTTATGTGCAGGTAGGACTCGTCAAACTGAACACAAAGTTCCTCTTCTATTTCGCAAACAACCACGTAAAATTTTTAGTTATTAATTAAAGCGAATTGGCGTATGATCACGCGAATGATACGGTAAGCGAGTTGTGATGGCGACGTCTATGGTCGTGTGCTTGTACATTCCGTTACAAAACGGCTTAGACACGGTGAAGCTGGGAGCTCACCAAACTGTCAAAATTGAGAGTTATTACGAGTTTATCCAGAAATTAAATTAGTACATGTTATTTATATTTTATTATATATCTTGTTATTATTAATTATTATTATTCTTAATTATATAATTCTTAATTATATCCTTATTACATAAGTCAATCGGTAATGATAGTGAATTTTCTTGAATTTTAGTGAGCTCTCAACTTCATTATATATATATATATATATATATATATATATATATATATATATATATATATATTATATATCATATATAATTCAACTTCATTGTATCCAAACCATTTTTCAACTCACTCTACATGAAATTAAATTAAACAAAAAAGTTCTCTACCATCTTGCGAATTACGTGGAGCTTTAGTTATTAATTAAAGAAGTTTAATGCATGATTATGCGCGATGATGCACTAATCTTTTTCAATTAATAACTAAAAATCTACATAGGTATTTTACAAAATAGTGGAGAGCTTTTTTCTTCAGTTGACGAGTCGCCATTACAGTTCATGGCGCGTATTTATGATAGATGTAATTACATTTATTATAACAGCACACTTCTATTTGACGATATCCAAATAATAACGCAAAATTAAAATATGGCTGTGTTTGCAAAATGATACAGGAATTTTGTGTCCAGTTTGATGAGTTCTACACACAACGGATGTGTCATCAACTGTCAGACACGTTGTAAACGCATCATATTGTAAGTATAGTAAATGTAAACTACATAATATTGTCGTGAAGTGAATGAATCTGTATGGAAAAGCCGAAAACAATTCAGATCGCAGAGGATTAAAATGCACATCGCGTTGATTTATCTCAATTTACATGCGGGGCGTCCAAAATCGAATGCGCAACGAATCTTCGAAATAAATCCTGCAATGCGTGCAGCACGCATTTGATAATATTGCAATGACGATACGCGAGTCACGTTCTTTTCCTTCTAATTTTCGTCTCTTTCCTCCTTCGGAAAATTTTGCGCCACCATCGTTGGATGAACTTTGCCGCGCGTTCTCGTCGAAACGCAGACAAACGCTCATACCAGCGCGTCTTCTCGGCTTCCTCCCTTCGTTTAACGAAGTTAACGTACGTCACCTCCTGTTGCTTGATCTCGTTCTGTAATTCAGACACATCGCGATGAAATAGATTTCTTCCTTTAACCCTTTGAGTCCTGACTCTTCATTTTATTTAGTTAAATTTTATTTGAATTTAGAAATTTAGTGTTATTTTAATAAAGAGCTATTAGATAAGTATACGTGGTATTTCAAAATTTTAATGCACAAAGTGATTTCTGCAGGGAAAGGTAGAAAAATTTTTTAAATTAATAAATATTGTTTTTTTCAAGATAAATAAAATATAATAATAACTATAAATAACTCCAAAAATACTGGTGAACGACGTAGATAGATCAAAGTATATTTTTATTTTTGAAGACATTATTTACTGTATCCTTAAGGATACAGCAAACACGGGACTCGAAAGATCAAAATGCAAAAGCACAAGCGAATTCTCACCTCTAGCGTGCATCTCTCTGACTTATTGTATTCGTAAGTTTCAGCGAGCTCCTCAAGCATTCGATATCTACTGCCGATTTCCATGTCGTATTCATTTATTATCGCCATTAATTTCGATTCAATCGCCGACCTGTGTTACGCGTCAATTAATCATGAATTTAGGAAAATATATCTAATCCAAATTTCTCATTATGCACATTCAGGTTTGTGAAGTAACGCGTTACTTGTAACGCTGATATCATTACAAGCTTCCTTCAGTAATTATTTCATAACTGCGGTGTTATCTTCTTCATTAGTGACAGTAACTTTTCAGTTATATCTCTCGAATAACGATAACGAATATAAATTATTTTTATCGTTACTTTACGTATAGTACTGGCATTAATTATTGTATCGTGTTGTAAAAATTATTCGTTCGTGGAAATATTATTTAAGTGCTCAATACAAATGAAATATTTTTATAGTGGCAGCTGTATTTCTTTTTAAATTTAATATCCATGCAGAAACCAAGAGCTCTGGTGATTGCCACATATTTCTTTTCACGTTAGGCCAATATTCTTCGGCAAATCTTTTCGTCTTATATATGTTGTAAGATGGACTAAAGTATTGAATTGAGCCCGAAAACAAAGAGTATTATTGTTGTTTTATCTAAAAACAAAAGTTTTCTATACCTGAGATATCAGTCAGAATTAGAGGTATATTCTATAACTTTTAACGACATCGTTATGTATCATTGAGCAGATTTTTTGTATTATGAAATAACTGCGCAGCGATACATAACGACATCATTAAACGTTATAGAATAGGCCCCTTAAACTAGATAGCAAGATTTATAAGAAAACACCGAGAAATGGGAAATTTTGAGTGAATAAAAGTTAAAATAAGGAAACGTTGTACAACTGCAGACAACCGAGTTTTCAATAGAATTCATCTGAAAAATCGCAGACTAATATCAAATGAATTAAAATGTAAATTTCTGGAGTCGTAACAAATTGTGTAAGTACTCAAATTTATTTGATAATGCAATAGCTAACGCCAGTACTGTATGAATATACCTACATAGGAAAGAAATCGCAAGAGTTTTCTAAACTTGATGAGAAAACAGCAAAATTGTAACAACTTTTGTTAGTTCTCGAGTAATGAATTATTTCTTAAGATGAGTAACGGTAACGAATCACTTTCTTCAGTGGGTAAGAGAGTTGCAAGAGTAACAAATTACTTTTAAAAAGTAACTTCTATTCAAACTTCCGCGTACCTTCGCTCATGGACGTCTTCTTCCAATTTCTCATTCATCTGTTTTAATGACTTGAGATCGTCTATGGCGTTCTCCAATGCTAGTTGCACATCTTTTTGCTCGAGCTCCCATGTTTTGTATAAAACGAGTTGTTTCCTCTCATACTTGGTACTGCAAAAGTAAACAGCAGCGGAAAGCAAAAATATCTTCAAAGATGAGATTTTTAAAAGTTTCTCAAACAGATAAGTAGATAGATACGTTATATTTGCGACGTCTTGATTGCATTTATTGTGAATTTTGTTAATGGCAATAATGTTTTTCTTATAATGCTTGACCACGTCCTCCAGCATTCTTCCATGATTAGCTCGTTGTCTCTCCAGATCGCAGGTAAACGCTGTATACACACGCGAATAATATATTAATTAAATAATTTACTTAATTTGAATCTCACGCGCATATGTGTATGTGTAAACGCGATATGATAGATTTATAAATACAAATACGCGGAGATACATATTAATGTTCTCTTCATTTTAATTCCGTTTTATGAAAAAAATTGATTTTACTAGCAATATCCTCAGTAGATCTCTTATAGCAGCGCCAAAGTTTTCTGTAATGTAACTCTTTATTCCTCGCTTGTTCTGGCGTAAGAAACATCCTGCACAAAACGTATTGCTCTAATAAATAACGGATGTGGTGTAGAAACAGAGCTGACGGTACCGAGATACATTTATAGCGAGGACTCATGCGAAGAACGTCGATGTGCTTTTCAAGAATCTACATAGAACGAATAAAAGAAATACAATTAAAACAGTTGGGTATATATAAATATATATAAGTATATATAAATTTATATATATATATATATATATATATATATATATATATATATACACATCTCTATATTTACAAGCGATAAACCTTCAATATTTTGTAGATAGTACGGTCTAATTTAGATGTGCTGATATAGTCGACTATTTCAGAGTTTGTCATCGATTTTCTGTTCTCGGATGCTAAAGCGTGAAACGTTTGTGATTGCCAATTATAAATTGATTTGAAATCATTAATAATTATGCAGGAGTGATCTAAAACATGTGTGAAAATAAAATCTCCCTCTCTCTCTCTAAAAAAATATCTTTTAACAAAATTTTAAAGACCTTTTTAAGAAATATTAAATACAAATATATTTTTAATATTTTAATTATTGAAACAAGATTCAATTATTTATATATATATATATATATATATATATAATAATTTTGTTCTAGGATATATGAAATATTGATTACCTGATGACGATAAGTGTTTACAAACTTCTTTATCACACAGAAAAATATCGTTTATTACGTTCATTTCGTCAGGTGTTAGGATCATGGGTAACTCAGGATCTAGTAGAAGGGAAGGCAAAGCCACCTGGAAGCATCGACTTGTCGTAACAATGTCAGTAAACAAATGCTCATGAAGAATCGTGATACCAATTACCGCTAATTCCATTTTTTTTATCATAGATTCAAACATAGTTTTGATAAGCGTCAACATAATTAATTTCTTCTTAACGTTTCTTTCATCTTCAACATTATATGGTTCCCCAGTATGCGCGAACGCATAGTCTTGCGCTTCACTTGATTCCCTAATAAGAATAATCCACACATTAAATCGTCGAAATTTTAATACATCTTTGATTTGAAATTTTGAGTTTACATCAATGGACGGGTTATATACATCATGTCTGGCTTCATAAAGCAAGCTTCGTTATGCTGATTCTCGTGGGGATTTTCAGCATGAGTACTTGAAGAGAACGACATAACGTAAATCTATATTAACGCATTCTAAAGTGATACAAAATAACGTTATTGACGCACATATAAACGCGAAAAAGAAAGAGAAACAAACGAATATCAAACAGAAATCTTCACGGTAAAGAAAATAAAAAACATATGCAAAGTATGCATAAAAATCTTCAAACATATCTATGTACTGTGTATATATCTATCTTATACATAACAAGTATGTTTAAAACTTACTCTTTTCATGAATTTTATTTTCCACAAAGTCAATTTCATATCAATATTGCTCGTGTGATACTTAAGAAAACTCAACGAGAGAATTTAAATAGTGAAAAATAATTTTTGTTGGGTAGAGTTACAAAAAACTGTAAAATGTCTAACATTATTTCTTTCTCCTAAAAACAATTTTTGCTTGCCTGAGGGCAAAATATCACACCTGTTGAAAGTGATTGATTCTATACGCATCTCTAAGGTGATCTCACTTTTCGCAACAGATGAATCAATGTAGAACGCAAGACAATTATATTCATCAGTTTAATCTTGCCATAATATCTGTATATCATATCATATGCATATGTTAGAGGTAATACATGTATAAGATAAAAGCCCGTGCGACGCAGTATAGTTTAATTTACTTGTAGAATTCGTGTTCGGACTCGTCTTTCTTGATATTATTTTTATAGCCCTTTTCGAAATCTTTCGCTAAAACTATGTAACGATTTTCACGGACTGCGTGCATTCCAGCCTCCTGACAGATAGCATTGATATCGGCGCCGGAAATTCTGTCCGGCCGTGCCACATAATCCTCGAGGTCCACTTCTTCGCTCAGATTCATCTTCGCAGTGATCGTAGAGAAAATTAGGCGCTTCTGCCGACGATCGGGCAACGGAAACTCGATCTTGCGATCCAGTCTGCCAGGGCGGAGCAATGCAGGGTCCAATGTATCCGCTCTAAAATATGCAAAAGAACAAAGATATCCCGTTAGATATTATAAATGTTAGTTTATAATTAATGTTAGTATTATAATTTATATACACACACACACACACGTATATTTTTTATTATATATATTTAAAATTTATTGTAATTAATATATTTATATTTTTTTACTTTACTTATATATGTTATTGTAATTGTAAATTGTTAGATGCAAAATGAGCTCTGTATTAAAATTCTCAATTTTTAATTTTAATTAAAATTTTTAATTTAATTAATCGTTAACAAAATTAGTCAAGCCTCACCTGTTCGTCGCCATAATAACTTTGACATTAGTAGTCTGATCGAAGCCATCCATCTGATTAAGTAATTCCAAAAGAATACGTTGCACCTCGCGATCTGCCCCAGTTTGGGCATCAAATCTCTTCGTTGCAATAGCGTCTATTTCATCTACGAATATTATAGCCGGTGAGTTCTCCTTCGCCAAGCGGAACACGTCTCGTACCATCCTTGGCCCTTCGCCCAAGTACTTTTGCACAAATTCAGATCCTACTACGCGAATGAAAGCAGCTGGAAGTTGAAAAATAATGGGAGTTTAGGTAGAATGACAGCTTTTGCGCAATCAACTTGGACACCATCAACTTCTCCATGAGAACCTTAATAGATCTCTTTTAATGCATCTATACTTCATACCAGTAGTATGTCTGGCGACAGCTTTCGCCAACATAGTCTTCCCACAGCCAGGTGGCCCGTACATGAGCACACCTCTCGGAGGATCAATACCGATCTGTTTATACAGCTCGAAATGAGTAAGAGGCAGTTCCACTGCCTCCCGGATTTCTTGCTTTTGCATATCCATTCCACCTATATCGCTGTATTGGATATCTGGCTTCTCATCTGCATATAAGTTTTTCTTATTTGTAAATTCTATTTTTAAAATTTTTTAAAATTCTATTCTTAATGGTAAATTTTATTCTTGAAATTTTTTGTGTATTCTCTTAAAATTTCTTTAATTATATTTTTAATAATAAATCTTATCTTAAAATTTGTTGAAATTTTCTAAAATTCTTAAGATTCCTTAAAATTCTACTTTTAATGCTATAAATCTTATTTCTAACATTTTTTAAAAATTCTTTAAATTCTCTCTAATGGTAAATTTTAATTCATAATAAAAAAAATTTAAACAATGAATTAATTAGATTTAGGAAGATTTGCTACCTGCTTGTAACATCGAGATACTGGAATCTGCTTCCGGTGGCAATACATCCACCAAAGCATTGCTATGCTTGTGAAGAGCTACGCTAGCAGAGGGCTTCAGAAGTTCTCTATCTATAGTAGATAGTATCCGTACATAGTAATTTGAGCCTGTTGTAGATCCTACTATACCAGTATTCTGATCAACAGCTTCAAGAAATTGACCAATAACCAGAGGTACACTTTGGATACGCTTAACTTCTTCTTGTGCGTGCAAATATTCTTTCTTTAAATTACGTTGCTCATCTTTGATATATTCTTCTTGTACTTCAAGAAATTCCAGCATTCTTTGTAGTTTCTACTCTAAGGAAAACATTAATCAGTACATTTGTAACTTATAATGTTAGATAAACTATATATTATTAGAAAAGATTGTAACAAAGATTTTTCTAAAAATTTAATGACCAATACTGCAGAGTCATTTAAACTGTTCAAGTACTGATCAAATGCAGTAAATATGAGGAATACAAATATGTATTCTTTATATTTACCCTTCACACATTTCAGATATACACGACACATATCATGTACTGTGAAAAATTAGCAACACCTTATATTTAGTGTAAAGATCTTCGACGTCCAGCTCGTCTCCAGCTCCTGTGTAATGACCGGTAACTGGCTTAGAATCAGACTCGCCCACATCCTGGAAATACAACCACAAATGTGTTCATGAACTAATGTGTATGAAATTTCTTACCGCATGAATTTAATAGCCGTAAACACGCAAAGAACTCACGAAAATCTCATAACTACACGTAAAAGGTTAGATTCGTTCAAACCGCACACACAATTCACGCAGTATAGCTAACGTATACTTGAAAAGGGCGTATACCTTATCGGGCAAAATAATGCCTAAATCTTCCATTGCAGTTCGAGGAAAACTCCACCACCCGATTCAACAGAATTTAAACACGCTTAAACGACCACAATACCAGGTGTTTCTCGATGACTCAAGATTTTTGAGCGTTTGTCACGGTTGGCTAGGGCACCGACGAGATACTCCTAAAGACTGTCAACCCTGGGTAAATTTTTGACACAGCCAAAGGGCTCGGAGGTAATTGAAGAACGATGACAATACCGACCGTTTCTCACACAAAGATGCTTCTGTCTGTCCATGTGACTACCCATCGCATATGCAGGATTCACACCGCGTCCGATGTCCAACGTACGACGTCTGATATCCAATAGGAGAACAGTTTTCCAATGGAAAGTTGAATTTTCTATTAGAAAGTTGTTCTCCTATTGGATATCGGACGTCGTACGTCGGACATTGGACGCGGTATGAATCCTGCATTACAATCTGTGTCCAATCATACTGTGGTCAATCGGGTCACTCACTTGAAAGTCGGCGTGAGACGCCCTCTGAGAAAGTGCATGTATATTATGTCCGTTATATGCATTTCTCAGTGGTAACGGTGAAATCGCGCGGTTTGTGTCTATTCTACTTCTACTCACGATGATGATAAATTTTGGTGAAAGGACAGACAACGTTGTGTCCTTATGTTTGTTCTTTTTAGCTAACGTTTTCGTTGCGCAGCATAATAGGCTTTTTAGGCTGAAGTCCCATAGCATGCATTTTCCACGTACCGCGTAACCGCATAACCAATAAATTGCGACGTTTAGTATTTCTGTTGGAACTTCTAAAAGAATAGAAAGATGTGATTGGTTGCGCGGTTACGCGAAAATATGCCATGGGACTCCATCCTAATAGCTTCTTGTAGAAGGCCCATAAAATAGAAAAGTTAGTCCCGATTTACAATAGGTACAATAGTAAGCTTTAAGCCCATATTCTGAATCCTCTTTTATCTATAAAAGTGCCTCTAAAAGAAGTTTACGCGACATTTTCCCGAAAACTAGATGGGAAAATGGTGGTACCAACAAAACCTCTAGACAACAATTTTAATTTCAACGGATTAGTGATACTGTTGAAGTAGCAAGTCCATGAATTTTGCGGAGTCGTTTTGACATATGCGTATGTATGTGTCAAATAACAAACTGTCACTAATTCGTAGAAATTAAAATTGTGATACTAAGGGATTTTTGTTAGTACCAACATTTTTCTATCTAGTTTTCGGGAAAATATCGTGTAACCGTTTAGGAGCTACCTGATTGGCTGAAAAACTACATTTAAAGCACTTTTATCGATAAAAGGTTCAGAATATGGGCCATAGTCTCCCCCCTCTCTCTCGATATGCATTATGCAGCTATACAAGTATTTAGAAACAAAGAATTATCTGGCGTAGAATAGAAATATTAAGTTATTCAAATTTTTGTATAAACAGTAGATATAAACGGAATATAAAACGGTTGTATAAACATGAACGGAAAGTACGAATACTGGAATTTGTTATATAAAAGAAAAAAATTATATATATAAAGTATACATATTATTATAAATATAAAGTAAATTAAATAAATACCGAAGACTGTACCTAACATCAATTTTATAATTTTACATATGTGGCATGTGCGTGTTTACAGAACAGAGCCACAATATCTTGTGTTATTAAATAATATAAATATACTTTTTTACACATAACGGCATAAAATCTAAAGTATATATTTACAATATGTATCACAATATTTCAAAACTCACGCTACGGCGCAATATAATTACTAATAATATTAACACATTTCTCATGATTCATATACTCTTCACATGACGTTTTCATCTCGCTTTAAGAAGATGCTGGATATCCTTACATAATGCGATTTTCCTAGTTTGCACTGTTTTTTATTTGGTTGCATTAAATTAAAGATGCTTTTACAAAGTGAAAACGCAGATATCAATATATTAAAGGTTGCCTCATGTTATATCCAAAAGAAATAATTTGTATACAAAAATTATGCACTCTCACATTGTAAAGCTTGATCTACAATGTATTTCTTATTTTCTATTTTTTTCTTTTTATCTCTTTTTTACTCAAATCTTAACAAGGACAGAGAAAAAAGGACAGAGAATAAGAAAGCAAAGGAAGTAAGGAGAGGAAGAAAGCAGACGAAGAAAGGAGTACATTGTAGATTAAACTTAAAATTATCTTTAATTCTACACAACCAAACGGAAAAACGATGCAAACTACGAAAACTATATTTTGTCGTTATTCAGCATCCTCTTAAGTTAAATAAAAATATAAAAGATAAAGAGACGCCTGAAGCGGCGCAGCAACAGTTCATAATTTAGATTAATTTACACGTAGTCACGCAAACTGGGTCGAAATCTCCTAACGTCAAGTCGTGCTATGTTCATATAATCGCGAGAACTGCATCAGTCTTCGAATTAGCGATTCCAGAAATCTTATTATCACCTGCTAGAGATATAATGGTTGTTGGTCATGCAACCATCAAGTATGCAGTTCGATTCGATCGTTCTGGATACCACGAAGTAATATCGAAGCTTACAAATAACCCACCAATAAAACTCCAGATTGCTTAACCTGGAGTTTTAACATCGAATAAATTCGTAGAGTTCTGACGAAACACGGAAGCCACCATCGAAACCGTTCTGATCCTCTGAACATTTCACAACGATCGGTACTTCGAGAGCAGTATGAATCTAATAATTCTTAGAAAGGGCGATTTTCCTCCATTTGTGATTCGTCGCATTTTTTACGTGTCCATATTCGAATCTGATCCTAAGTTCACCTATCTTCGAGATTGGCAGAATATCCGGTATCCACTCTATTAAGAACGGTGTAGGTTCGACTTGATTTGGTGAAGTATTTCCTATAAAAAAAAATACGAGAAAATATATTAAATATATAAAGATATATAAAACGTCAAATATATAAATATACAACTCTACCCAACTGAAATATATATCCATAGTTCTAAATCCATCCCATCTCTTTTTAAAATAAAACAATTCTCTTCAACGAGTGTGTGCGACTTTATCTTAGTACATAAAAGATAACACAAATTTGGTGATATGATGATAGAATGTCTGACGATGCATATAAAACTCTCGTGTACATGTAAGTCAGGTCAAACTAAACAAAAAGTTCCTTCATTAATTTGTAAACAGCCACGTCAAATTGTGGATTATTAATTAAAGCAGATTGACAAATGATGGTGCGAAATACGGTATAATGGTAAATACGATTTGCATATATTTATCAAACTGAACAAAAAAGTCCTCTATTATTTTGCAAATAACCACACACAATCGTTCGCCAATCTTCTTTAATTAATAACTTAAAATTTCATGTGATTATTTACAAAATGATAGAGAAATGTTGTGTTCAATTTAATTTATATATGTATCTATGTATTTATATATGTATCGTCTGACACCTTGTACAGGCGAAAACAAGAATATACTTATATAATAATAAGTATATTTGTCTATATAATAATAGTATAGTCGAAAATATAAAATATAATTATATAATAAGTATACTTGCCCACTTTCAAAAACGTTTTTAACTCTAGCGGTTTAATCAGCGCGTTATTATTCGTCTTCTTGTAACGATCTATTTCTGTCTCTTCACGTTTGTACAATTCGTACGTGCCGTCGGCATTCTGTACGAAGCTCCTCGTGATCTCCAACGGTATGTATGGTGTCTCGAAGATACTCTTCACGTGTAGGATATTGGTGATCTGCCATGTATACTTGGTGAACGTGCCCAAAGGCACACCGTCTTTTCTCACAAACGCCGTCGTCGAATTCGGCAGACGTTTTTTCTTGCCGCCGCACGAGATCCGTTCTCGCAGGCAGTCGAAGAATATCTGCGGCACATGAAACACCAGGGGCTCGGGCTTGCCGTCGAACTGGAAATGCATCGTCTGATTTATCCGCTCGGTGA